AGCATAACCTATAATTGCTCTTCGTTCCCAATTTAACCTCCCTCAGCAAACTCAATAAACATGTTGGAAATAAAAATTAAAGTATTTTCCAGGCTAACCCGGTGGAAAGGAAAAACTTTGTGGAATGAACAGAGACAGAGCTAGGGCACATGACAACATGCAACTGACATGGCGATGTACCAAAATGCAGCGCAACACGGGATGTGATGCACTAATTACTGAGCTGCGTTGCTAAATGGGTAGAGGAGAGAGAGAGCGGAGTGCTATGAGGAAATAGGGGAAGGCCGCTCCGGCTCTGGCTGCGGCGTAAAGTGCCTGTCAAGGTGCGTCAACGGACATAAATACACACACGCTTGAGGCAAGTACGCATATTTCAATGACGCACTCTGCGATTTGCAAACTAATCTGCAATTTATTACGCCCCGAGCCACAGCCCTGGCGACAGGTATGTACATATATACAGACTGCTCCTCCATCTAACTTATGAAGATTTTTGGATCCATTGCAACATCATCTAGGTATATGTAATATGCAACGTGGATGGCCTTAACTTCGGCCTGGCAAACTCGTCAAAATGATTTATTTTTGATAAATTGCCACACGGCCTCCGGTTGAGTTGATGCAGCGACAACGCGGCAATTTTGCAAATGATTTACACGGAATGACACGGAATTTAATTTCGAAATTCGCAAATGTTGTTCACTTTGGGTGGCAAACATGAATCTCGCACTTTTCAACGGAGGGCGACATGGCCTGAAAATTGGTTCCCCTGGCATCAGGGGGTTTCCACTTCCATTTCCATTTCCTTGGGATAAGTAAGTGGACATTATTTATAATTGTGCTATCATAGTCAATCCGTCATGGTGTTCTGCTACTTATATAAAATGTTTATTTTTAAGTTGGCATTTACACGAGAGTATTTTGCGGCAAATGGGAGTGTTAAATGCCCTGAAGAAGCTGTCAAATAAATTAACTTGGCAAGCAGTGATCTTCTTGGAATTTTATTATATTTATTACTTGGATTTACAGCTGTAAATTCAAGTTTTAAACTATAACTTCCAATTAGCTAAACTGAAAGTTAAGTATCTGCCATTCTACAAGCTATCAGCTAACTCCTTAAACTTCTTAATTATCCTCTTTTATAGCATACTTTTTTGTCGTAACGAATGAACTTTTTGGGTAATTTGAAAAACTTTGTACGAATATATCCTTGAACTCATTTCGTTTCTCTGAAGTACAGGTGTGTGTGAGCTTAAAACCATGTTTGCCACTCCCTCTGGAGGGACTTAACTTGGCAACATCAAGCCACATCGGTAGAGAAAACTTTTCTTGTTCCAGCGGAAGCTTAAGGACACAGCCAAGATTGCAGTCAATTAAGCAGACTGCAAGTTGAGTACCTAATATAGATTTATTTTTATTTTGTAGCCATGTTAATTTTAATTATTATATGCAGAGTTCAAATATGTTTATTGTAGTTCTTATGGGGAGGAAAATTAACATTTCGGATCATTATATTCCACTTTTCGTTCCTATTAGCCCTCTTTTAGGCCACTTCCTCTTCACTTTCTTTTGCTGAACTACCTCAACTGCCTCATTAAAACACAATTAGAATAATGTGAACACACTCGGAGTCACCTCCGACGTGCTAATCATGCCAAACACCTAGATCTTTATACCAAAGACTCAGTCAGACAGTCAGTCAGTCAACAGGGCATGTGGCAATGTCGGTCGTGACGCATGCCACCGTCGGACAGACAGCTGTCCATACAAAGCATCTACTTATAATTGCCGTGGGTTCCACAAAACGGCCACTTCTCCATGTCCCTGACTTTATCACGTGCTGACTGGGCTTGGCACCGATAATTCTGGAGCGGAGCGGTCTACGAAAAACCAATTGGAGATTCGGAATCACGTCAATTGTTGCGACAATCAATCGTGACTGCGGATGGGATGTCGATGTCAAAATGCCGACAAAAGGGAACGCACGCGTAAAGAATTCGGTGGAAAGGGTCTATGAAAGCAATACCCTATGCCCGTTCCCTATACCCATTCCAAAATCGGGGTCTCTAACACATCGGGGATGCTTTTGACTCCGGCGATCGGCACTTGAGCTACAAAGAGAACCGATTTGTTGATTTGTTTTGAGAAGTGAGTAAATAAGTATGTTTCCATTTGTGAATGTTTGGTGAATGTTGTGTGCGCTTTTGTTCTGTTTGATCAGCAATTTCATTTTCAAGTGCTGCTCCACCGATAAGATGGCCAGGTGATGATAATAGCAACTTATCTACAAATGCCTGATAACGCCGATAACACTGATTGGTGGTGAGTGGCTCTTGTGGGAGTTGCTGAGCTCTTATCTTCAGTTCTAGTTTCAAAAATGGAGAATATGCCAAAAAGGATTATGTTGGCAATTTGTAACAGAATCTTTAGTGTTGCAAGCACACACATACTCTGGACTCCCCCTGGAGTCGTGGCTTAAAACTCATAACATAGGCCCAAAACTACACAAACGAAAACAAATTCATTTAAGGCAATTTGCATGACGAGAGAGAGAGAGAAAGAATGTCCTTTTTTGTCCTTGTTACGGTGACTTTATCGTTTATCGTTTTGCGAAAAGGATTTTATTATATTCACCAGAAGCACTATCCTTCTGCCTGTGTATGTAGATGTGTGAAGAAGATTTTTCGCCGAGAGGTAAGTGTATGTGTGTGTGTGTGTATGTGTGAGTGTTTGTGCCACATACTGAAAAGCGACAATTTCATGTCCAAATGCTTTCCAGGTGACATGAAACAACACTTAAGTAAGAAGCCTTTCAGGGGAAAGGATGAGGCGTTGGGTGGGAACTCTCTGCTGCCTGCAACTCTCACTGTGCATCTGTATTCATGCCACCCACATCCATTCACCCACCCACTCTCACACACATTAGCAGTTAAATTTGTACACATTCGTATTTATTAGACTGTGTGTGTGTGCTGCGAATGTGCCTGAACCAACGCACCTGGCATCGAAGAATAATATCTCTTAACGCCAAAATCTACATTTAAATTGTTTTCAATATAATCTGCATGTCCTGTCCACCGAGTGAGGAATGTTCCAGTTTATGTTGCACTAAATGAAAACAGAGCTCAGACAATGGGAATCAGGGGACATTTATGGGTGGGGGATAGGTAAGGTGCTCCCAAGGAACTGCGACATGTGCCACAGTTCGCATGTCCAAAATCATCAAACAAATCACTGATAGAAATCGATTTAAAGGAGGGAAACACTGAAGAAACAGCTTTTTATGAACAGTTAAATAAAGTTTTCGACGTAAAAAACATTGTTTGGAAACTTATTGGAGATTTGAAAAACTTTTAATGTGAATTTTTAGGTTGAAGATTTAAGACTTAAAGGAGAAAACTTTTTCATACATTCTTGACTATAATTTTTTCAATTTCTTTCTAGCTCAAGCACCTAGTTAAGGCAATCCCTATTCCTATCTATCATTCTTTTTCCAGTTTCAAAAATACATTCTTTATTTCAAAACTCCTTTCATGTTCATCCTTCCAAATCTTGTAGGTCTCATGAAGTAGGTGTAGAATTTCCTGGCGCCGCCGAGAGCGTCCAGCAATTTGAGTGTAGAATAACCATAACGATCACAAGTTGGCCAGGCTGGCACTTTTCCCAAAAGTACTCGATGCATCGAGTTGTGGAGTATGCAAATGACACACTGCAGCACACACACACACACACACACCCACATTTACATAGAAGTACATTCGTAAGTACCGAAAAAAAGGGACACATGTGCGTCTCTTTTGACTTTGAGATGCGTTCGCATTTATAATAAATGGCAGCGCGTTAACACCCCAAAACATCAAAATACTCATTTTACAGAAATTCCCCAAAAATGTTCCCCTGCCCTCCCCAGCTGCTACGCTTACCATTAATTAGAACGTACTCGAGTCGAGGACTCTTGAGTGGACAGGGCCACGCCCTCAGCCCAGGATCGAATGGAATCGGACTGTTTGTTTGTTTTTTTCCCCATTTCGGTTTCTTGTTACGATTAACTAGTGCCAATTAGCTGGGATTTTTCGTGAAGGGGAATTCGAATGTTCTATTAATTGGGATATAAGACGGGCCATTCCACTGTCTTTTCAGAATTTTTTATTAAGAGGGAAAATGTTTATTATAGAAATAAATATAAATAAATCAAACAAATTTTGAAAACATGTGTTTAAAAATATACAAAATTATTATTATCTGAAAAATTAGATCTGGGCGATTAATTTATCTATACAAAAATATATTTTTTCGTTGAAATATACAAAAGTAAATCATTTATATTAAATATAGATTATTTTGTATATAATATTAACATTATATAATATCAAAAAGCTGTTATACAATAATATTGTTTCCTTGAAATTATAATGTTAGTTTTGAATTAGAATGTAATTCATTGATTATGAGAAAAAAGAACCAAAATATTTTCTGCACAACGGCCACTATTTATTCCCATTTTAACAACCTTTTTATGATAGCAAATCTCCTCTAACTCCTTAGTTTTTTACCCAATTATTTTCATATTGTTTTTCTTTATCAAAATCGGAAAATTCTTAGCCAACTTTGGCAACATTATCCAATTGGGAAGCCTTTCGATCGTGGTCCGCCATGAAATCGCTTCCAACGTTGTCAGTGTCAGTCAGTGAGAGAGAGAGAGGGGAAGGCAGAAAGAGAGCGACATCGATTCACTTTCCAGTGACGTGGAGGTGGGCGTTCTCTAGAAAAAAACAAACAACAGCCCCAGAGAGATTTCCCATCTCTCTCACAGCCAACCCAATTTAAAGAGAGCAAGAGAGACCGCTGCTATACGTGGCTCCCTGTCTGATTGGAACGCTGACCAATCAGCGAGCAGTTAACTCACTTTACGCTCTCTTTACGTGCAGTCATCCCTCTCCCACATCTGCTGCCCTCTCTTTTACACATAAACGCGCTGCTCGCTGAGCAGCCGAAAAACAGTTTGTTTCGAAACGCGAATAGGTGCGCATCTTCGCATCTTGGCATCTCCGCCGCGTCGCCCGAAAAAAGAAAACGTCGAAACGAAAAATCCCGAAAACGAGTTACAGTCACTGGATAAGTCACAGTCGCTTCTCAATAGTCGCAGTCACTGCCGTCACCGTTGAGATCCCGCTGACAGGTTGGCGGAACCCGTTTAACTGGAGCGTCGCCAGCGGATCGGATCGGCAGATGCAACAGCCGTTAATAAATAATAAAGTGCGTGCAATAGTTACTAAAAATAAAAAGAAAATTACAGAAGGAACTTAAAGTCTAAACACTTTAAAAAATCTTCAAAATCAACCTCTTTTTGTATGATAAAATTCAAAAACTTACTTAAAAAAATTTCAATAATGATTCTGATAAACAAACATTCTTCAAATAACAAAAGAATATCGGGATAATCCAACAACTGACTATAATAAGAGCTGACTTTAGTGTTATAAAAAACCAACAAAAACTATCAACTTAAATTCCTGAAAAATCAAAAACTAAAACCCAAATCAGTTAGTAAAAACAAAACAGTTAAGACCCGCTGACAATCTTCGACTACAGACATTTGTTAATCTGTTTGCGGCAAACACTTGAAGCCAATTTGGCTTGCTGTCTGTTCTGGCATTTTTGTTTGTTTTCAAACATTTTCAAATCGGCCGCCAAAGAGTCAAACAGAGTCAATAAAAAAGCAAAGTAAAAACGGATGAAACAAAAAACAACAACAAGAACAAGAGCAAGAAGAAAAAAACAGCAAAGTCACAGAAAACAAACAAAACATTTTCCGGCTCCGGCGACATTAACAGAACTGCTCGACATCGACAATTTGTTTTATCAATTTTCAACAAGGCCAGCCGCAGCAGCAGCAACAGCAACAGCAGCGGCAACAACAATAGAGCAACACCCAACAAGCCAGCAAACAAGAAAAGCGCCCAGAGTGCTTAGCCGTCGAGCACGCACGCCAAAGCCACCCAGCGCCACCCACTTGCCAGCCCCCGTGAACCTCCCTTAACCATCACATCCCCCTCAACTCATCCTTCGGCATCCACCCCACGAAAACCCCTTTTTCGAGGGCTCCGCCAGCATCCGCAACCGTACTCGCATCGGCATCCGCATCCGCATCCTTGATAGCCAAAAAAAAAAAACAGCGGAAAAAAACACAAATAAACAACAACGGACGCCCCACAGTGAAGCCAGGCACAGTGAACTCGCGTGTCGCCGCTTTTTAAAGCCAACTCAGCGAGCGAGACAATGGCTGCATATGCGCAGTTTGGATACGCTGGCTACCCGACGGCAAATCAGGTGGGTTTTAGGTTTAAGTCCGGGGACAGGTCACACTTTTGGGATATCACAAATAGGGTTAACTTCCTGTTTATCTTTGATTTGGATCTTAAGTGATTAGCTTTAATGGGCTGTGCTTAGGGTTAGTATTGATTTTTTAGGAACTATTAGTTGAGGGAACTATGAAAATACAAATGTTAGATTTCTACTTTGAGAACTTAAATCTATAGGAAATTGAAGTATTTTAATCATACTTTCTGTAGTGTTGCTTAATTTTCTGTTTTAACATCAATTTAATACTTTAGACTTTTAATGCCAAGGCGTTTAGCCTAATCCAAGATCTAAAGAAGAACTTAGACTTAAATCTATCAAAAATAAAGAGATAAGTAAAATAATTAAGTAATTTTTCTCTTTTTCCAATTTTCAACCATTAAGAATCTAAATCTTATTATTTAAACATTGAAAACACTCAAGTTAAAAGCGTTTTTTATAAAAATTAACCGTGAAACCATATATTTTTGCTAATTAAAAATCATAAATATCTTATTGAAGATTACAAAACCCATTTGTTTAAATTTAAAGCAACCAAAATAACCAGTTAGAGTTAAAATTCCAATAAAAACAATAATTTAAGGAAAGTATTTATAAAGCTACTGCTTGGCCTTAAATTTAATTAGACAAATGATTGAAACAGCTAATAAGAAACCTAAATAAATTATTTTTAAAATTCCCGTTTATTTATTAACCCTTTAAATATTCCTCACATTTTGATTTATAACTCTGTCGTTTCAATATGGAACCATAACTTAATCATTCCAATAGACACTTTAAAACGAAATTTATGTTGGCCCCTAGAATTAGTCTGCGTTTAAAATAATATTTGGCAAAGCCACAAAGAAGAAAAATATTTGGTTAATAAAACCAGAAATTTAGTGAGTCAGTTAAGATTTTTTTTTTTGGCATGTGCGAGGGAAATCTTTAATAATGGACGGTGAAAATAACTTTAAATTTACATTTTAAGCTGGCGGGTGAGGGAGCAGAGTGAAGAGCCACATGAATATTCAAGCCTTTTTGGCACCGGTTGGAGCTCCTGCTGGATCCCATATCCATATAGCCATAATGGCCGCCCCGCCGCCAAGAAATGTTTCACAATTTAGGACAGCCGTCACCGCCATCGCCATTCGCCATTCGCCTTGGATGCAAATTGATGGTAGTAAGGGGTTTCCGAGGAGGAGTGCCTGTGGTGCATCGTCCGAGGTCTGGTCATAATTACCCGGTATTCCGAGCTCAGTAATTCAAATTAGTTGAGGCCGGGCCAAGACGGGCAGGGCCGAAACACTTGCAACTACAAAGCCCTTTCAATGGCTGTGTAATGCCTTGTCCAACGACTACTATGTGGTCTAATGCGTCAATGCTAGACTTATGCGTTTATCCGGCCTCTGTGTCCTGCTGTTCATATATATATATATTTATATATATATATATAGGAGGATATATATGTGCCCTGACCACGTCTGGTGGCATAAATTTATGCTAATGAAGCCGCCGGAGTGGTGGACCATTTATTATAATATGCAAACTTGGTAAATTACAATAATTAAAATAATGAACGCTCAGATTATCGACTATAATTATGGCTGCAGATGTGCAAAGCCTTTCCCCGATCGATTAAAAGCCACCAGGATTTTGTCGTCATTTGCATTTGCTCTCGTTTTTGGCCTCTCAAAAGGCCATTTAGTCGGTTACTAAGCCCAATTAAAGACTGGTCAGTACTATACTATATAGTATCTGTCTGACTGGGTGCCAAATTTATAAACCTCAGAATTTATGCAGCGCACAGCACAGCAGAGTGCTTCGGCAAGCGAATTCATTAATTTAATTTTAATTTCAACGCCAAGACGGCATTCCAAAAATGAGCCAAGAAAAAAGGAAATATATATATGAATTTAATCAACGGCTGACAGTTGGCAAGTAGCGAAGGCACATCGAATTCTTAACTTCCCATGCGAGCTGTTACGCATTTCATGGCAAAATAACTCAAATTCTAAGGACGCAAAAAGCGGCGCGACGATGTCGAGTCCTGTATAGGCTTCATCTCCACATCCAGCTCCTTCCTTTTTTTTTTCTTTAGCACAGAAAAGGACAAGTCCGTAAATGATGCGAGAAAAAACTAATATTTCGCAGTGTGCATTCCATAATTGATTTATGAATTTTTAATGCAAACATTGAGACCGCCGTTGGGAGTTGGGAAAGAGTTGTTCCACGGCTACGACGGCGCGCCTGGACTTAATTCAATAAGCGAGGAGGGCAAAAAACAAAAGCAACTTATTCGCATTAGCAAAAACGCACTTCCAGGACTGTCCTTTTGGTATTCAATACAGAGAGAGAAAAGTGATAGTGATTTATTCAGAATTTTAAATTAAAGAACATAATCGTAGTGCTAGTCGAGATAATGTTGTTTTCATTGGTGAGCTTAGTACGTCTTGTACCGGTGCGTGTCAGTGTGCCCAGCACGTAAAAACACAAAAAAGCTCTAATCCGACATTCTAGCACCATCTGTTTAAAACTTAGCCTTTAAAAATTACTTTAACATAAACAGCTTTAACTTGAATATCAATCAAAGTTTATACCTTGCCATCAAATCTAAAAAATGTATCTTAGAAGGTGTGCTTGGGAGTCTAAGTGGAGTAAGGTTAATCAGCATTAATGCCTAAGAAAACGTCTGTTTTCAGACTTCTATTTAGTATTTTTCAAAAATTTCTTAAGCGAATATAAAGTTTTACCCCATTTTCCTCTGTGCACCCCTAAGAATGGGTATCTGTATGAATATGGCGTACTCGTTTGGCAGCGGAATCCTGCGGATGAATGTGAGAATATGCCAAATCCAAGAGCCAGTCGCCGGAGCCGTTGACTGCGAATGTGAATGCTAACATGTGTTTGTTTGTTGGGACAGGGACAGGGACAGGGACAGGGATTCGTTCGACTGCCAGCTTCCTTGCTGCCAGAGGCTCCTCATATTTTCGCTTATTGTCCGGGGCCTGGCGTCAAGGCCCCCCAACGAAAAAAGCATCCCCTCTCCCACCCAATAGCTTTTGTTTCGTAGTCGTTGTTAGGAGTGCAAAAACGAAATCCATAAACGCATCCCCAGCGGTAGCAGCAGCAGCGAAACGGCAGCAGCAGCAGCAACCAATAACCACAACAATGCCGATCTCCTTTGTCTTGGCTGGTTTGGCAAATATACATACATAGGTACTATCCTATAGTACACCATATCCATACCATATCGTACCGCATCGTACTCGTGCGTTCGTGAAATGAGAATGGGCATTTGGTAGGCGGACTCGTGAGCTTTAACATAAATCATAAAATTAATAACCGTAAAGTGACGGCACCAGTTCGCCCAACATCTTGGCCTCCAATCTGGGTGCGGGTGGCCATCTGTATCGGTATCTGTAAATATATATCTGCATCTGCATCTGCATCTGGGCATGAATATGGGCACTTCAAAGGCACAGATAGAGATTTACACGATGTCCATGCCGGTTCAACCGAATTACGGTCAATGAATATTCGCTTTTGGCTTTGTCTTGTTTTTGTTTTTTGTTTTTTTTTGTTTTCGGCTCGTTTAGACTTTCGCTTGTCCAGCTGTTTTGCAGATTTTATGTTTGGCTTTGCGGCTAAAAGATGCAAGGTTGAATTGCCACTTTGAACTTTGGTCATGGCGCATAAAAATCGGTCTCGTATTCCACGTTTAAGCTGCCTGCCCTTTGGATAAGTTTGCAGATACTTTTGCAATTAGAAAAAAACATGTTCATGCCTCAACGAAGATTGTTGCATATGGTTGGGAATGGTGCAGATCTGCCTGACATTGTTTTAGAAAAGTAACTTAAGTCTATTACGGTATGGGAAAGGTCTGAGGTTAGGACTTTGTAAGGGGCATTAGTGCAGTAAAGTTAGTATGTAGTCAGATACTTTATTTGTTAATAAATTGTATCTTTTTATAAGTAGTTATGAAAGTCATTCATCACCTTTGATGGAATCAACAGAATGTTATAATGAAGATAAACAATCGTTGAAAATCGTTAAGAAATGTTCTATCTAGTAAAGTAAACCCCTTAAAAAAAACTGTAAAAATCATTAAGATAGATAGCACTTAGCCACAAGTGTGAATATAAAATGCTCTTTGTGGCAACTTCAGGAAATATTCCTTATTAAACTTGCCGCAATTTGACACCGACTCCAAACTATCCGAGAAAAAGTCATAAAAAAAAGTGCGCACAACTTTAAGACAGCATTTAGGAGCTGCCAACAAGTTTCAGCATTTCCGCAGAATAGAAACCCAAACCCAAACCCAAGCCCAGAACCCAAACACCGAGTTGGTTCCTCCAGAGTGTGGCTTATCCTATCTGCAGTCACCTTGCGATAAACCCAGCGACTGGGCGCTCTTTCGCTGCACTTCCTGCGATTTTTCAGCAGAGTGGGTGAGTGGGAACCATTAAAAATAAACTGACTTGCGTGCCGATAATAAGCACTGTTCCGAGCCCAAAACTCGGACCAAACTTGACCAGCCAGTCCAGGTTCCAGGTCCCTGTCGTCGTCGTCGTCGTCGTCGCCGATATGTGTTTTTTATGGGCGGCCACAAAAACTGAAATTGATGTTCGAATCGCATAAAAAAAAAGAAAAACAACAACAAAAAAATATAAAGAATAATAAGAAATGAGCGGAGCGCGCCCAGCGTTTTGTACATTAGCCAGGAGACAGTGGAGAAGAGAGCCAGTCAGCCTGGTTCCTGGTTTCATTCATTCGGAATTCATTAGATTTCATTCATGAAACACCTTTATTATGCAATAATTTCCCCGCTGGCGCGAAATTGCCCCGTCGATTAGATACCCAGGCAGGAGGTGTTAGCGAATCAGCTCGTTTAGCCTTGAATTACCATTATTATTTAAATCATATGGCCAGGATTGTCCAGTAGCCAAGATAGGCGGAGAAATGGTAAAAGGTAGGAGGAAAAAACAGTAGCATTTCGAATATATAAGAAAGATATTATTGTTATTAAAGACCGGTGTCAGTTGTAAGATTTAGGAAGCGATCTTGAAGCGCGTGAAGTGGGACTTGACAGGCAGTCATCATATGGGCCGACCTTCTATTTACACTTTTCGGGATCTTTCAGCTCTCTCGGATCGATACGAATCAAGGGGTTCTCGAACCGACGGCTCAGATGTCTCCGATTCGCTGCGGTTATCGGTTCAGAGGATATGGGTTACCTTGAGAGTGGGGAGTGAGGCTTGAGGAGCGATGCCTACCTGCGTCCCTCATCATTTGATTGCCCTTTTCGGCCGGTCCGTGCCTTGCCGTGCCGTGCCCATTCTCGGTCGATCGATCGGTCCACTGATACTCCTCGAGTCGGGAACAGAATGAACCCTCTTCAAAGATCCCCCGATGCTCGATTCTCGATTCTGGATTTTGGATTCTGGATACTCGTATCCCGATGTGCGATGTGCTTCGGACGAAGCGGTATCTGAAATCTGACTGTGATAAATTGAAAATTAATGAAGTGAAAATAGATGGAACGGATCGCAAAATGCGCCAGGCCAATAAAATATTTTGACATTTGGAGTTATCATCTTAATCTGCTTTGTTGATTTCGACCTGGTCGGCAGGGACATGCCTTTGCGCTTACCTCTCCTTTGGCCCTTCTTTTGGGTTCGCTCCTCTTTGCTCTGTCGCGTCCTGCCAACTTCACCTGTTCGGGCACTGCAAGAAATTGTCGAAAAAAACAAATTTCAAAAGTTTAAAATAAAAGTAAATATTTTAGTCTGAAAACCCGGGAATTATACTAAGCTAGCTTATTAAGACTTTCTTTTTTTCAAAGATATATTCCATAAATTTCTCTCAGTGTCCCATTCCCTCACCGCAGACATTTTTCGGGTCCAACGTACTTTTTTCGGCATTGCTAAAATGTGCTCTTTTTTTTACCTTTGGCATCTTTGCAGCTGACTACCGCCAATACCGACAGCCAGAGCGGCCATGGCGGAGGATCGCCGCTGTCTGGGACGAATGAGGCTTCCCTGAGTCCCTCAGGCGGTTCAACGGCCACCGGTCTGACCGCTGGTCCTCTCAGTCCAGGTGCAGTTTCCCAGTCGTCGCATCATGCGGGTCACAAAGGCCTCTCTACATCGCCGGCGGAAGATGTGGTAGGTGGTGCCGATGTCCCAGGAGGCCTTTCATCCGCCGCCCAGGACCTGCCCACCCGCGGTTCATGTTGCGAGAATGGACGACCCATCATAACGGATCCCGTATCGGGACAGACAGTCTGCTCGTGTCAATACGATCCGGCTAGACTGGCCATTGGTGGCTACTCCCGAATGGCTTTGCCCTCCGGCGGAGTGGGTGTCTACGGTGGACCGTATCCGTCCAACGAGCAGAATCCTTACCCCAGCATCGGAGTGGATAACTCGGCCTTCTATGCACCTCTGGTAAGGATCGGGGAAAAGGGTATTGGAAACTCTGGCTAATTGGCTTTGTGCAGTGAGCGGAAGTCCGCGCAAATGCGAGTCGACAGGCCGAGCAGATATCGCCATGTTGGCCGTCAGCTCGTTAGGCCCGGTAACTTGTAACTGCCTCGATTACCTGATTACCTGGGGGCTGACAAATTCACAGACTACCTACTCCAGCTTACACGAGGCTCACAGCCGCCGCCGCCGCCGCCGTCTGTCAGAAGTTTTGACTAATCCCTGATTCTCGTTTCCAATTGCAGAGCAATCCCTATGGGATCAAGGACACCAGTCCCAGCACCGAGATGAGCGCCTGGACATCGGCGAGTCTGCAGTCAACCACCGGATACTATTCCTACGACCCCACGCTGGCGGCCTACGGGTGAGGATTTAAAAATTAAGACGTTTGGCTTAGGAGTAGAGTTAAAGTGGAGCTTCATTAGGTGAACATTTTAAGAAAATTGTTAAGAAGTTGTTTTGGAAGCTTAAATTAGTTTTTTAACTTAAGAAACGTTAACCCATAACACTTTAAGTTGAAGAGATATAGTTCTAGAGTTCCAGTTAACGAATCTTCACTGTATAAATATACAAATGGTAAACTTAAGTGGGCTTAAAATGTTGCCATGGGACAGAAACTTTCGCGTCGTGTCGTCTGCCGGGTTTCTTTTTATTTATCGCTTAAAAGGGTATGTCTGGCTTAGAGTTTGAGCCCTGAGGCGCGGTTCTGGCCAAAATAGAATACTATCTTAACGATTTACTGTTGACCTAGACGAGAGAGGAAGTTGCCAATGCAATCCGCTTGATGGGGGCGATCCTTATCAGCCACCAATAACTGATTATTATCTTTAAGGTGTGCTTGTCTTTGTGCTTTATTTACCCCAAAACGTCTGATAACAGGCCGGAAAATCAATGTTGGCCTAAGCAAACTCATTAGTGGCCATGATAGGGCGTAGACCAGAACTTCAATGGGCCTTATTGATTTGGGATGTTTGATTTTTAACCTGCAGATACGGACCCAACTATGATCTCGCCGCCAGACGGAAGAACGCCACGCGGGAATCCACGGCCACGTTGAAGGCCTGGCTGAGTGAGCACAAGAAGAATCCGTATCCGACCAAAGGCGAGAAGATAATGCTGGCCATCATCACCAAGATGACCCTCACTCAGGTCTCCACGTGGTTTGCCAATGCCCGTCGTAGGCTGAAAAAGGAAAACAAGATGACGTGGGAGCCCAAAAATAAAACCGAGGACGATGATGATGGCATGATGTCGGACGATGAGAAGGAAAAAGAGTCCGGAGATGGTGCCAAACTCTCCACAGAAGCTTTCGGTGAGTTCATGTGTATATTTTCAAAACCCCTTTTCCTGCCCTTCTGCAATCCCTGACCTCAATTAGTAGTCCTCAACGAGATCTCTCACTCTGGTTTTGTAATTTCTTGAGCCCACTGTATATTGTTTTCCAAACGCCTTGCCCCATTGATTCGTACGCCTTTCGGCTGGCTGACCCGCCTCTTCAGCAGATTTGTGGCACTGGGCTTTTAAGTACAATTTATGTGGCGAAGCGAATGTTATGCAACATTCGTCTGCCCGCCGTCCGAAGTCCGTCGTCCGTTTATTTGTCTGACTGCTTAGGCGACATCCTCCCCGGAAGTTGACAGCACATTGTTGGCAAAGTGGCCTTGCGCCCGCACTCCGATTCAAAAGTGCACTGCCAGAAAATGTGTGTAAAGATTGAGATAGAGAAAGGGAAAATAAAGGAAGTTAAGTGGCTTTCAGTTATAGTTTTAATACTAAAAAACTGAGGAAAACTTCAAAAAAGAACTTATAATTTTTTCTGAGAAGGTCATATGCCAGTTACTAGACCTTTCCCACTTTTCCCTATGTGTATTTCGACTCCAAAGTGGCCTTGTTCGAGTTGGCGACACATAGAAATGGTGCAAGGGGGTGGGAGCTTGGGCGGCAGTCGGCGGAAACTCGAGTATTTTGCTGCTGAAAGCTTTCTCCTCGCTGGCTGCGAGGGTTGCACGCATCAACGCCCACCAACAATTTCAAGGGTTTTTGCCACTGCCAGCTGCCAGCTGCCAAGAGTTCCACCTCCTGGAAGTGCCAAGTTTTGCAGTCCTCTAAGAACTTGTCTGCTTCCTGCCAGTGACTTGAAATTAATTAAATTTATTTTGTGTCTCCACATGGTCTCTCTCTCTCTCTCTCGTTCTCGATTTAATCTCCAGATCCCGGCAATCAACTTATCAAATCCGAGTTGGGCAAAACGGAAAAGGAGGTGGACAGCAGTGGTGACCAGAAGCTGGATCTTGACCGGGAACCACACAATTTGGTGGCGATGCGTGGACTGGCACCCTATGCCACACCACCCGGAGCCCATCCCATGCACGCCGCCTACAGTTCGTATGCGCAATCCCACAACACGCATACGCACCCACATCCCCAGCAACTGCATCACCAGCAGCAGCAGCAAAACCAGCAACAGCAGTCGTCGCTGCAGCACCATCAGATGGATCAACCGTATTACCATCCGGGTGCCTATGGCCAAGAGGAGTCGGGGGACTTTGCGGCTCAAAAAAACCCGCTGAGCAGAGACTGTGGCATCCCAGTTCCGGCGAGCAAGCCCAAGATCTGGAGCGTGGCCGACACAGCCGCCTGCAAGACACCACCGCCCACCGCGGCGTACCTCGGCCAGAACTTCTACCCGCCATCATCGGCGGAGCATCAGCTGCACCACCACCACCACCACCATCAGCTGTCGTCGGCACCACCGCATCACCAGCAGCCGCTGCAGCAGCAGCAGCAGCAACCTCTTCACCCGCACCACCACTCGATGGAGCTCGGTTCGCCGCTGAGTATGATGAGCAGCTACGCCGGCGGATCGCCATATTCGCGGATACCTACGGCGTACACCGAGGCCATGGGCATGCATCTGCCCAGCAGCAGCAGCAGCAGTTCCTCCTCCGTCAAGGTGCCGCCTACAGCCACACCCATCCCCTTACCCATCAATCATATCCATCCGGCGCCGCAGCGGGTGGGGTTTCCCGAGATCCAGCCCGATACACCGCCCCAAACGCCACCCACTATGAAGCTCAACAGCAGCGGCAGCAGCAGCAGCAGCAGCGGGAGCAGTCACAGTTCTTCGATGCATTCCGCTCCGGTGACGGTGGCTTCCATGGTCAACATTTTGTACAGTAATGAGAATGGCGGAGCATATGGTCATGGCCAGGGACTTAATCATGGGCTTGGACACGGGCATGGACATGGGCATAGTGCCTACTTAACAGAGGGACGTTCTGGGTCGTAATTCGACCTTGAATTAGTTAGCCCAGTTAAGAGTTAACCAGTTACCAGATACCAAATAGCAAGCGAAACTACTTACACATTTCGATGGCGGGACAAGTGCAAGTTGGCGGGCAATCCGCGATTACGATTACGATTACGATTACGAGTACGACTACGATTACCAGATAGCGATAACTACACTAATTATTTTGCAATAAATGTAGCTTAAGTACGGCAATAAAACTTTATTTCCTACCATATCACATAAATTATTTCGCTTTATAACTTTAATTAGCATATTTACACTCAACCGCTGGAAATTTGCGAGACACGTCTCGATGGAGAGGTGGTGGAGTGGCGACGGCGACGGTTGGGGCTTGCTTGCGTCTTTCTAAACGCCTACTTTTTGGGTGCTAAGAATAAGAAGCCTGGGGTTGAGTCACTCCGGTGGCTCCGGGTTTAATGACTCGAAATGAACGCACACCACACGAACTCATTCATCTTTCCGAGAAGTGAGTCTCCGTGGCATACCACGGCCTAATAATGCCAGGCCTCGTATTACTCCACCGTGCCATAAATCAAGCGAACTTTTTGTCTTAACTGAAAGCTAAACAAAACACTAACATTTCCTACCTTAAGTGCTTAATCCATACAACTTAATAATTTCAAATAGCTACGGCATTAGAACTTAAGCACATTTCACGTTGTATTAATGCTAATATCCTGTATCCCTAAGATAAACTTACTTTAAGATTTTTGCCTATAACTTTGACTTAGACATATACTCGGCCAAATAATAATTAATCCGTGCAAACATAAATAGTTACTTACTATATATTAGTTAAACCATTCGTTTGATAAACATGTAGAGAAATTTAAGTATCTGTGATATATGCATATGAAAAAGATAATATACGTACTATACGAGCAATTAACTGCGGTAATTTAGTTAATTCACACATACTTCTTCGTACACAAAGGCACTTGCGTTCGGCAAACTGGTTTGAGACACTTCTAATGGCATACATTTTCTAATTGTAAATAGTATTTATGTAAATTTGCAAATTTAATTATAAATAAAGTTGAATAAAATCATTTAGTTTTGTGTTACTTATTTGGCTTAACACCGGAAGCAGTTTACTGCGGAATTTTTAGTTCTGCTTAGGATGGAGTTTTAGATTGATTTATTTAGGTTGTAAAGTGATTTATTATGTGCGCTAATAGCTTCTAATTATTATGTATTTTTTAAGATAAGAGTTTGATTTAGGTGGAGAGTGTGTTAATTAGCAGATAGAAGTGTTAGACTAGGAGAATAGTTTAAGACGTTTAAGACACGTTTTGCCATGGTTTAGTCAGATTGAAGTAAGAAAAATAGGAAAGGAGAGTTTTTTTTAAAAGATATTTGACTATTATTTCAATCAATTAAGTTACTTAAATCCAAAATAATACGATTTGAAAATAATTTTACAAGTTGGTAGCTTGTCCTTTTCGAAACTATATCCCAATAATCTGTTCAATTTACATATTTCAATCCTGATGACTAACCAGAGTCCAAGTTTCCTTAATTTTCAAACAATAATACTTAAAAATATTCACAAATAAACCAACAATCATCTGATTTCATACCCCTAAATACTAATTTTCATCTCAAAGCTCTTCAAAACAAACCTTTCTTTACAAACCCTTTCATATTAAAAATACTTTTACGCTGACATATAAATAAAAGTGTGCGCTGCGACCCAATGAACTTAATTAATCGCAGCGGACAAGGGAGCGGTCGCATTTTTCGAAGAAATATGTAGATATAGATACACAGTCAATCACGGGCCTCATGTCTGTGTCGTGTGTCACATCTATAAATGAGAATAATAAATCGTCGGTGTCGCATTATAATTATCGACCTACCCATAAGCACTGCCCAGCAATGAAATTCCATGGATTTGGATTTGGATTCAAATTCGGATACTGATTCGGACAATACTGTAATTCCGATTGACAGTTGATCCCTTTATAATGATCGCAATATATTGAGAAAAGAGTCGGGCAAGCAGCAGCTACCTGTGCGTAACCAACTGGGAAGCCAACAACTTTATTTTATCAGATTGATATACTTCACTGGAAACACGTTCTTAATCATAGGAACTCGCCTAACGCCTTTCACGGAGTGTGAATGATCTAATGAATGTGTTTGGAATGGTTTGAGGAGGTAGTATGATAAGTATAAGAAATATCTCATAAATTGGGGTGGTTAAGATAGGGATTAACAGGATTTTAGGTATCGTAATTTAGGCTTGTTTTAAATTTCAAAAGTAAACCTAAAAGAAACAAAAAGCTCTACAAAGATCATTTGTTTCAAATGAAGACTACAATTAAGTTCCTAATTTTCTACAATAAACATATCTTAACCCTTTAAGTTACTCACAACTCTCAATGCACCTTCAGAAACAGCCACACAAAATTCATTAAAGCTGCAGTGGGGTTCGGCTTGCCCCGTAAGGACTATTAGATAAATTTCGGAATTTTCAAATTAGCCGCTTGAATCATGGTAGCATCTGCAGTCAATTGCACTTTTTAGCAAATGCATGGGATATGGCATGCAACTTGCAACTGGCAACGGCCAACTGCCAACTGCCGCCAGCAACAAAGTCCAGATCATAATGAGTCCAGTTTTTGGGTTTTTGTAGGGAGGCTGGTTGGATGGCTGGCTGGCTGGCTGGCTGCGCTGGCTTTGGCCATTTTATCCGCCGAGTGGAAAATGACAACATTAATTTAGCGCTTTGTTCTGTGCGAATCGGGCTGGGCCACATTTTAAATTAACCCAAAACATGTTTAGGGGTTTTCCGCACAATTGCCCCTTCGGTGCAATGTGGCAAAGAGGATTTCTGGTCCGGCTGCATAAAGGATTGCAGTCCAGCACAGCATCTGATGCTCCCCCCATTTTAGCTTTCGGGGTGGTTGTAATTGAAAAGTCAGGAACAATGAGATGGTTTTTAGGAAATGCAAGGGAAGAGGGAGTGCATATAATCAGAATTGCATCTTTTTAATTGCGGAACGGTTGTGCCTTATAAATAATCTGGGGTTATTAAGAAATCTATTATAAAAAAGGATTTGTTAGGCGTGACAAAAGATTAATGTTTGTTTAATACATTTTTACAAGAAAAATTTGCCTAAAAACTCTTTAATATTATCAAGCGCATGCAAATATTTTATCATACAGTTAATAGGGGGAAGAAAATACCAAGATATATACTTAAGAAGTAAATTTTACAAAGAAATTCTCGTAATTTTGATTGAATTATAAAAAAGTAGAAACCTGTTAGGAATCGTAGTGATTAATCAATGTTAAAGTGACGTTCTCAAACCTTTATTTGCAACTGCAATGTTCTTCGTTTTTTCCTGATAATTGCCTATCGCGTTGCAAATACAATTAATTAAAATTTGAAATAATAAAACATTGGCTGCAGTGGGGGCTATTGTATTGATATATTATAACGGCGCGTGTTCGGGCCTTTTTGTTAAACAAAGAAACTTGTCGCGTTTCCATTTGACAAGACCACATTTGTGTTGTGGGCGTGTGCAGCGAATCCGGGGCTGGAACATGAACAGGTCTATTGGGGCTTCAGAGGACGCACACGTAGAACATTATTCGGCTACAAAATGGCCAAAACAACAAACCGCTATAATTTACCATATTTTATGGCTGCGCCGTGGCAATAAAATCGCCAACAAGGCCAATAACTCATTCTAGAGCGCTGGCGCTGCAGGGCGGCAAACGGCGGTGGCGGTGGCGGTGGCAGCGTTGGCGTCTGCGGCGGCAGTTGCAGTTGGTAGTTGGTAGTAGTTGCAAGAGTGCCCCCGCCGCCGGTTACACGGTACGCCTCTGTTCAAGCTGACCCCCATCCTGTCCGTTCCCCCCGTTTTGGCGCCCCTGAAACTTCCGCGGTTGCACCATTCACAGGCCACAAAATGCAACATACACACTGCACTCCGTTTTGCTGGCTTTTTAAACGGCTCAATGCGCCCGCTGATGGAACTACCACATATCGTTAGATATATAGCCCAGCTTTGGGCCAGCAGCTCTAATTTGTAGCCACCCCCCCAATGGAACTCCCACTCCCGGCGCTGCTGCTGCTATTTTCAAATTTATCTATGCCGAAACCTGCATTGATGGCCTGCATGTTTATTGCCCGCCTGTCGTCGTTTTGCATTAGCAGTTACCGGCCAAAAAGCCCAAAGAAATAATTGAAAAAACCTTAACAAAAAACTCACAAAATTGGCTAACAAAACTGGACAATTGGCAATGAGTTTCGGTGCCGTGGGGCACAACATTTAATTAATATATATTTTCCAATTGCTGCTGCACCACCGCAAGGACATTGCCAGCCGCCTCGATGGCTTCTATTTTGGCTCGTGTAAAAATAAAATGAAAATGTTTTGTGGCTTTGGCCCAAAGGACGCGTGGCATCATTTTTCCACTTTTCAATAAAGGCAGCACAGGAAGAAAAATTATGAAATTGTAAAATGTTTTAAGGGAATTTTTAAGTGGTTTTCATTTTATAACTAAAAGGATTAAATATTTTAAGTTGAAATAAGTTATTGGGACAGGAATTAGCATGGAATGGTAGATCCTAAGTGACGTTTTCATTAAGTTATTTAATACTTTTAACACTTTTCATTTCATTTATAATTTAAGCATGTTTTTGAGATGAAAATTCAAAGGATTACATGACAGTAAATGTTGGGAAATACAGGCAAAAATCTTATAACTATTTGACTTCTTTTTTCTTCTAAAGAAAACATTTTATGGAAAGGTTGTAATTGCTAAAAATACTTCAATGACTTTGTAAAATACTATGAACTTTGATTTCTTCAATAAACATATAAGGATTTCCCCTTACTAATCCACCTGATGTCCAGCTTTTCCCTCCGTGCAACAGAAAATGTTGAATGGCGAAATAAAAATGCCCGCTGATCGAACGCGATTGCTGGGTCTCCGGGCAGCAGATGCAGATGCCTATGCAGATGCTGCCGCTGCGGTTGTTGTTATTTTCCCGATGACCACAAACAGTCTAGACCAAAAAGTGTACAATGTGTCCTGTGAGGAAGGACTGCGGGATAGGCTAGGTATAGCTATAGGTATAGGTTCTGCCCCAAACCGTGCGTGTTGGATCTTTAAACTTCCTACAGAGGAGTCCCATATTTAAGTAATGAAGGATCCATTGGGTACGATGTACGAATTCGAATACGAATAATTTAAATATTTAATTAACACATTCCGGCGTCCGAGCGACGCCATCCTCGCGCGTGTGTGTGCAATTAATGCAGGAATAGGCGCAATTAAGTTTGTCGCCGCTCGCTGCCAGCAGGGATTGTTGCAAGCCAGGCAGGCTTATCTCGTGATTCCGATCGAGCTTCAATCCCAGGGACTACTTCACCTGGATGTGGATAGCCATGCCCGGGCTTCGCCATACGCAACTTGCTTTTAAAACATATATATATATATAGAGAGAGAGACTTGGGATCGGATAAGGAGTGCGGGGTAGAGAGTGCGGAGAGCCGGCGGCAGCCCAAAGATTTATCTGCATCCGGTGTCCAGTTACCGGGGCCCATTCCCATCTTCCATTCCCATTCCACGGACACACTCGGTTTGAATGATGCGCATCTTGGTCATTTTGGAAGTAAATTTGTGTGCAAATGGGCTTTTTATTTGGCTCATGTTTCTTCCAGCGATGGCTGTCTCCTACCTATATATATATGTATATATATATGTATATATCTGGTGGATACCTGTGCCACAGATCGCATTTAAACTCGAACGCTGACATGAGCAGTTGCGGAAATTCGCCATCGTTGAGATCATGGAGCCAGCAGATGATAGGCGAGTCATAGGTTTAGCTTGTTCCATGTCCATAAATATGCTGATAGCATTTGCATCCGAGCAGATGGTGGCTTCCATGCTCCCATGTTCACAATTTATTTGCCCCATTGTGCCTGAGCGCCTCATAAAATGCTAAAACTAAAAAAAGCACCTACTTGGCTCGAGATTTTTATAAGCGAATTTAACCCATTGGGGCGGACTTAAAGGAAGCTGCCTAAATGCCAGCTTAAATAATTATTCTAATCGGAATGCACTTTGTTAGATCTTCGGCTAATTGCCGTATAAATGTTGCCACTGTATTTTTAACTGCTTATACTAATGAGTTGGCTTATATTATAGGCTGTAAAATAAATAAATTATTTTATGGGTTCTTCTTGGGAGCAGCATTTGCTCTTTTCAAGTCTGGCTGGGCTGTTAAGGTGTTTGGTCTGGTTTTTATGATCAAAGCCCACCCAAGTTTGATATTCTCTTATTTTTAAATGCATTTGTTAGATTGATTAAATACATAATTAATCAAATAATGTCTCTGGACGTAAGATTTTCTTTACTATTAATTTGCAATGATATTTTTCACCTAAAGATTTAGGTACGAACTTCTAAAACTTTGAATGATAAAAGATAATATTCTTTGATTTCCTATTTTATGTAAGTCAAAACTTAGCTGGAGTGATTAGTAACCCACAAAATTATATGCTTATTTAGCATCTTAAAACCTCATTTAAAGACTATATCTACGAGGTAACTTAGCTTTTATTACATCACCATCTAACAAACCTAGTTAAACATTTAATTATCATTGCCCCCATATCACTGTTGCACCTCGTTGGCTCCTATAATACCAACCAAACTGTATGCAATATTTTGGCATTACTGGCATCACCTGAAAGGATTTCGGTGGCGTTAACCCTCACTAACTGCCGAGACTAAACTAGTACCGATAGAGGTAACAAAAAAGCACGGCACGCAGAAAGGACAACGGCTGAAAGTTGGGACGGGAAAAGTCATTTGCTTGCTCGTCCGACAAGATGTTTGTTCGTTCGGCAAAATAAAGTACACACTGTCTGGTCGGCTGAGGGTGGCCAGGGAGGGGCTTGGAAAAAAGAGGGAGTTTGGGGGCTGTGTGTTGAGCTCCCAGGGACATTTGGGATAACATGCGAACACGGCATATTTGCTGGGATACAAAACGCCAAACGGTGTCTTCCAACCACTCATCCACTAGGTAATGAATGGATGCGCATGCATGACATGGATGCAATTTTCGACAAAGAGCCGGGCTAGGCCCCTTTTCTCTGGACTCGCCTGATTATCTCATGTTCTGCGCAGCCATATCCCAGGCCCAAAATCCCATCCCGACCAGCTAATATATGTACGGGGGTTACTCGTACACGGAGGAAAGCAAATTGGAAACTTAATGCCTCAAAATTGAAAATTCATATGTTACTAGGTGTAAGTTACGGAAAGTAGGTATTGTTTGAAAATTTTATTTGATTTGATTTTCGAATATAATCCTAAAAATGATGAGGATCAGTTGTCGCTCCGCAAAATCCTTCAGTCTTTTATTTGTTTCTGTATCTAATTTTGACTAACTTAAAGATCAAATACCACATAGAAATCATCTATTTTTATTTTTTTTTAATTTGGGATTCTGATATTTGACCCAAAAAATCAGTATTTTGTGCATAACAATGGGTTGAAATATGGATTGGAATATCTCGTTAAGCTCTTAGTTAAATTCCTAGCAGCACTGTTACCAAATCTGGAAAAATAAGTGATAGGGATCCTTAGCTTTGGTCCTTTACTGGACAAAACTGTTAGTATTTTAGCTGTGCGACTAACTTTGGCTAAGTTATAGCTATAAATCGCTAAAAAAAAAATACTGCGCATCTCTTCTCTTCATTTACACTGATTACCATAACATAATAATAACTGTTTCTTGAAACAAAACAAAGCACAGTTAACGTACTGTCCCCAGTTTTTGAAAATTTCTTTCTGTGCACCAAAATCCACGGATAGCTGTCTAGTTTTTGGATCGCCTGTGGCCTTTTTGGAGTCCTTGAAAGGGAAGTGTTCTGCCTTTGATCAGAAGTGAGTTAATTGGCTATTTGGCAGGCTGCATGCTATTCCTAAATTGGATCAAAGGTATGATGGAGAAGCATAAACAGTGGCCACCCAGCACACACCAACCACCCCCACTCACCGTCCACTGGGGCGATATATGAACAGGCCCCTCTGGTTTTTCCTAGCCATGTGTACTAATTAAAAACTGGCAAATTCGTAACCTAAAAATACCAAGGCTGCTGCCGTAGCATTTTGGCCATATTTCGAGGTGGCAACCAAAGAGGCGGAGCATTTTCCACGGTTTCCAGTTGCAACCACTGCCCACCGCCGCCTGACGCCTGCCGCCCACCTGGAAAGAGCAGTACCGTTTCGCGAATAACTACCCATCTCTGTTCCACCGAAGGAGAAAACCCGTTTTCCACTGCACATGCGCAACTTTTGAACCCCCGCTCTCTCGCTCTCGCTCATGCTCTCTCTCTGTTTCTTTCGCTCACTCTCTTTTGCAACGAGTGCTTTTGGCCAAAAGCGAACATGCAACACAACTAGTATGCGCTCGAACTCGGTAATGCGCACATCATGGGCGAGAGTGGGCGCGCAAGGCCGAAACAGGTTGCCGCACGAAAGTGGGTGGCGAAGGTGGGTGATGGGTGGGTGTTGGGTGGCTGTGCCGCCTATAACCCAAAGTTGTGAATAACCCAAAAGTGCGTGCCCCTGATTGGGCCAAGGTGGGAGTAACGTAACGCTACAGATCAACAATTCCACATGACGTAAACAAACACGAGAGTGCCAAAGTTTACTGTCACGTGCTTGTCAACAACAACAACAACAACAGCTGAAGAGTCTTGGCGTTTTATAACGCCCTGACCCCGGACACGATGAAGCTTTACAAGTGACCCCCCCGGCTGCGTGGACTTTGCACCCGACCAGCGGCAACTACAACTAATACTAGTTCTTGTACCTGAACTAAAGGCCCACAGCGCTTTCATGTAAGTATTGTTTACTACCGTTGCGTGATGATGTTGTTAGAAAATAAGCAGTCGGGGCTAGAAAGTGAGTGCTGATTCTGTATCAAGTTAAGGGGTTTCTTTAAATATATTAAATTTGTTATTATTCTATGAATTAATATATACTTTAAAGGGAAGCCCGCTAAAGTTGTTTATACTTTATTTAAACTATCCTAGGAATAAAACATTGGGTTAAGCATAATGAAAGAGGTTCATTATTACCTTGTGGAGACAACAAATAGTTAAAAAACTTTTCTAAATCCACTTTTATAACGTTATCATATGGAAACTTCTAAGCTTTTTGTAGCTAAGTTAATAAAAACGATTATTAAAGTTTATTTAAATATAGTAAAGGAGCAGAGAAGTCCACTATGATTATATTTGAGGAGTAGCGAGTGACTAGACTACATTAGCTTTCAATCTGAAAATATTCAGATAAAACAGAAAACGTAACCAAACGTACGTAACATTAACAGAAAACGTAACGTAACTGCTGACATTACTATAATTAGCCTTATCATTTCTATGAATATTTAGTTAAAGTGGCTTTAACATATATTTATTATTAGACATTATTAAATCAAGACCAACTAGTTGACTGTTTGACACCAACTAATAATGATATTCTTTAATAAAATAAAACGCATGTCTTTAGTTATTAAGATGTTTTCTTTTTCATGATTTAAACATGTTAAATATACCTTAAAAATGTGATAAAAATATTTTTAAATATTTAAATATTAATGGAAAGACAAAGATATACACAAGGTAGTTAGGGTAAGGCAGTCGATACCTTATTTTATAGTCCAATAACATAGATTCTTAGCTTAAACAGCTGCTGGACCATCAAACTGTGGCATACAAATTTCCCTTGGCCAGCTAAGAAATGCCGTGCGATGCGTTTAAAAAATAGCTAGAGCTAGAGGTAGAGCAGCGGCCAAGAGTTTTCACCAGAGCGCTTGTTATTTATGTTTTTTATTCGTATGATGAAAAGCCACGCAACTATGTTCGTCGCGTGTCTGGGACCATAAACAGAAATTGTTTCGCAAAACGCCTCCGTCGACATTGCAAAATAAACCTGCACAGCGAGAGAGAAACAAAAAATTATCATGGACTAAATAATCGTATTCATAAATATGCTTTTCCATTTTCCCCACACATATATAAACTCCTATATATACTATATATATAGAGAGCAGACCCTTAGCCTAGGCAGCTATTCATCAGCGCATCATGTTTAAGCGTTCGTGGCGTCGATGATACAACCGATAAGAGACCAATTTCGCAATTGCGGCGCTGGAATTTTTAATTAGTTTGGCTAAGAAAAAAGCCGCAGCCGGCCAGGTAGCAAGCACACTCGCTCTTGTTATGGCCAAAAGGTATACGCTGGGGTAAAGAACCAGTCGAGAACGAAATAATATCCTCTGAAGCGCACACGAAACGCAAGCAAAATTTGCATACTGCCTTCTCCTGATGATGGGCTACTTTGAAGGTCTTCGAGAATGTAAATGCCATAAAATGTATTAAGTTAAAGTATGTGTTAAGTGCACATGTCACAGGTCAAATGCTTTAGTGTTATGATTTATCTATGTGGATTTTTATGGGGTGTTAAAGTTGATACCAATCTGGTTATAAGATGAAAGCGAAGGATTTACAAATCTCTGATCTCATTAGCTTTTTCTAAGTACAAACTTTCTTTTAGTGTTTTCAAATGATTTCTATAACTTTCTCCCATTTATATTTCTTTCTTTTAATTTTAAGCAAGAACAATAATAATAATTAAATTTAATCCATTCACATATTTCCTTCTATGCATTCCTCATTCCTAATTATTTTCCCCATTTTTTACCAAAACTTTCCAAAAATAATTGCAAAAATTGTATAAAATATGCGCCTTAATTATCCCCCCAATTTTTTTTTCGTATTTCTTCTTATTAATTTTAATTGCAATAAATAGATCAAAGAATTTTATATTTTGCATTATTTTTGACTTAAACAATATAATTAAAATCTCAAAACAACGAACATGCAACAATTTGGATTGAAGTCTTCTCACTCTTTCCTTCTGTAAGCCTTTTGTTTACCCGCTAGTAAAGCCAAGTTAATTAACAGTTTTGTTTGGTCTTTGTGTGTCCAAAAGTATTTTGTTTCCGATCGCGAAATAAGTAGGGATTGTTCGTGCTCATACGGTCGTAACTAACCGAGTGGCTAGACTTTGTGTGCGGTTAGGAAAATGCGCTGTACAGCGCTGGAATATGGAATAATTAAAAACAATTCAATTCGCAATTTGCACCATAATAAAATGAATTACATATTCATTTATGCAGAATATAACCGCTAAACTGCAACTGCAACAGCAACACCGTAGATCGGCGACGGCCAGTTGGCCGCATGCAACCGGATTGCACTTGGGTGCAGTGGAGCAAGAAGTTGGCCCTACACGAAGGGTCGTTGCCTGCTTTCGGCTGTGGGAATTGCTTACCTTATCTCTGTATATATACCCGATTGATTCTATCAATATAGGAACTATATATATCAATATAACACGCTTTTCTCTTACACAAAGTCTTGGCATTTGTTCCAATTTCTAGATTTCGAAAACTGAAAATAAAACCATGACTTGAATATTCATAATCCAAGCGTCTAGGCAGAAGTCTACTTTGTAGCTGGCATGCAACTATTTCTCGCGTTCGACTAAAATAGAATTTGTTTCATTTGCTGGTAGACTGAGTCCATCGTCTGCCAACTAACCAGCCAGCCAACCTCTCTCTCATATGCAATATGAATACTTTTCAGCGAAAATGCATTTTTATTTTAATGAGAGGCGGCATTGCACGCACATTTCTTCGGGAAAACCTTGTTAAGTGTGTAAATTATTGCGAAAGATTGCTAATTTTCTTCAAAACAAACATAACTTATTAATGCTTTCAACCCATTCTCACCATAAAATGTGGAATTTGTTGTCGAATGAGAGGCAGTGCTAAGAAATCACTGGGTGTGGTTATTGTTATAATTATTTTTATGATTAATAAGTTGCCTTGGGTAAAAGTTTAAGTCATGGCAAAGAAAAACTATTTTTGTTGTTAATAATGCTTGGTATACATATATATGCTGTTTCCTGAACACTTAAAATATGTGGATTAAACCTGCTTCTATTTTCCATTTCACTACCAATATTTCCTCTTCAAAAATCTCAAATTATTTTCAGCAAATGCTGAGTTACCAGCTGAGACTGAATACTAAAACCGTCCAGCTATAAAAAGACCAACTATCAGTTTGGGGGAACAGGTTTAGTTTATGGCCTTTAGGGGTCGGTCGCACTTAACGGGAGCCACCGTTGCCACAGTGGGTATTTAGCGTTCGTGCTGGCGATTAAGCTGTTCATTCGCTTGGCACGCTTTCTGCGGCAACCCCCTTTGGCTGTCATTAAAAAATACCAGCCTCCAATTGCAGGAAGTAAATGCTACTTTTTTCTGTAAAAATTCTTATATAATGTCTTTATTATCATCCCCAGCTAGTCATAGGGGTGATAAGTTATTTGCTAAGTCACTCATAAGTTGGAAGAGTAATTTAATATTTCAGTTTAAATTAATATTTTTCTCTAACTGAAATTTAATGAGGTCTAAAGAAAGATATACTATATGAAGAAAATACTAAAAAAATAATATTCTAGAACTAAACTTAAATGGTAACACTTTCATATTTTAAAAGATATAACAACGGAAGAAATTTTTGCTTTAAGTTCATTATTTCCTGAATGAAATTATAAGAAAGAATATTTACTTAACCCTCAAGTTTCCCAAATTAAATCAAAATTAACACGTGTCAGACTATTCTTTAATAAAAATTAAAAAAAAAATCAACAAATTTCCCTTAACCGCCGTTACCGTAAATGAGACTTTAAAATGCCTTAAATTTTCCACTTTAAAAACGTGATTCACCGTAGTCGATTATTTGCGGACTTTCCGTTTAACACTCCGATGTCTGATGTCCAACCATGTGCCAGGTGGTGGACTGGGCGAGATCCGTGCGCCCGCAAAGGTCTGGCGCTTGCGGATGAAGAACAGTGAATTTATAAAAAACTGTGAGTGCTTTCATTGATGTTGGTTTATCGGAGGTGGCATTCCCCGGCTTTTTACATTGTATACTGCCCATGAAGTCCAACCTTTTATTTAAATGTTAACAATAAAAATGAATTTGCATTTATTGATTTTTTGGCCAGCAGTGTTGGGGCTGTGGTGGCGACACTTTTAAAAGAGGTCATATCCATATCCACGTAGCGAATCAGGCAAAATCTCATTGGATTTTATTTCAGCTTCAGACATAGAGTTTGCAATTTCGTTGGGTGAATAGACCAGCAGCACCTTTAATAAGCCTGTTAGATACGCCATTATTGTCTTCAAGTTGGCCAAAATGAAATGTGGGCACATACGCCAGCACAAATGTGACTAAGAGAGAGAGAGAGAGAGAGCGCAGGAGATGTAGATCCTGCAGTAGCCGTTTGTTAAGCCTTTGTCTAGCAGCCATTTTAAGTGCCATAAAAAACTCCAAAAGTTGTAGGAACAATGTAGACAGCGTGTTTTCATTTTATGCGAATTAAGCTGCCACTTGAACAACTTTGCCTCCACCAGCGACTGGACCGCCGAGACCGACACTGACAACAACAACGGCAACGACGACGGCGACGACGACGACGTCAGTGGCAGCTCCACTGGCAGTCCAAGAACAACACACATGAGGCACATCCACATGAGTGTAAGGTACACACGATTGTTCATATGTGATATTATGGTGTACATAGTGAAGACTTGAAGATTTTTTATGCAATTTTAAGGAGAAAAACTAAAGGAAAAAGGTAGTTTTTCTACACTTTAAAATATTTCTAAAAATCTTGAACTTTGATTATATCTTCTGATATTTTGGTAATACATTCTTAAATATAAATATATTTCTATACAAAATATAAAAAATGTATATAGAAATTTCATCCATGAATGTCCTCAAACTTTCTACCCCAAACGATCTTCCCAAAGAATTTCGCTAAAAACTACAAAAAATATTACAGCATACTTTTAGGGCGATGCCAGGACACAGCCTGCCGGCATTTCCTACAGGGCACGAAGGACATCCTCGTCTACATCAAACGAGAGCGCCCACAAGGGATACAGTTGTTAACGTGGCCAAGGAGCAGCGACTATGGCGGGGACAAAAACACAAACATGGTTGCCACGAGTATCGTGAAGGACTAGGACGAGAATGAGGGCGAGTACGAGGTCCGCAGGACGCTTGCAGTTGAAGGAGCAGAGCACTTTATGTGCATATAATGTCCGCTCTCACCCAAACACACACACACACATCCACACCCATAGACAGAAAGGAACCCTTCCAAGTTGCGGGGAATTGTTAATATTGTCTGGGCCTGTAAGCAGCATTTACATGCTGGCCGACACCACGTACTACATACGTCCTGGCTGATGGACGGTCTCCTGCCAGGCTTGCCATGATGATGCCCGGCTTTAAGTAGGCCCGGTCCGACCCGCCTGCCTAGCAGATATTGTTTTAAAAATATGTACATCCTTGCAGCTTGCAGATGTTGAATTAACCGACGAAACCGGCAGATTTCATTAGGATGGAGAGCAGACAAAAGTTATGGGGTGAGTGTCTAACTTATGTGTTACATAGTCCTTAGTATATAGCTTAGGTTTTATGCACTAATAAGTGGGGCTAAAGGAAGGGGTAGTAGAGAAAGATGGCTCTTTAAGTTGAACTCCTTTAGGGAAGTAATATCGATGGCAATTTTAAAGTCTGTTAAAACTTTTTTCAATGACAGTAAAAGGTTTAGTTTAAGCAGATTAGTTTAGTTCAGTTTAAGTGATAAAAACACAATACAACAAGCTCTGTTAACTCTAACTCCAAGTCATCTGCAATAGATTCTTCTAATCAAATAAGCATTTCTTGCAACCTGCAACCATCTTCATTTGTTAATATCACAAAGAGACTTAAAATAATCCTTTCAAGTTAATGGTTAGAAATCACAACCTTAGAAAGCTCTTCTTTATATGATAACTCAAGGGATATACTTATTCCGATTGGAGGCAACACCACACCTCCCAGTAATCGATTGGACATGGCCTGGCAGCCGGATTCAGATTCCTTCCTGCTCCTTCTCCTCCTGCAGCATCTTAGGTACTCGAATAAAAAATAATGATGCGAGAGTAAATGAGATGCTATTGAATTCAAATGGCGTGGGATGCATGTGAAATGATACGCACATGCGAAGGTATACGGCCAACCATATGCCATGCCGCACATCCACATCTACATCTCAATACAAATACAAATTCAAATCCATATCTATGTGGTTGGCGGAGTACATTGATGCATGGTGTATATACGACTGTGGCGTTCCTGATTCCAGAAAGTAACACACATGGATAGCTCGCTCATTTACCGCCTACTGTCGCCGCTGGCTGCCGGGAGTCATTCGTCAGTCAATCCGTCGTCGTCGTCGTCGTAGTCGTAGTCCTCCTCCCTTACCAGAATATCCCCCACATCCATATCCTTGTACCGCTCCTCACCGTCCGTCCCGGGCCATGTGCGCAAAACCAGCGCACATTCGTCAGAATTTGCATTTCAATTCGAATGTCAGGATGACGGAGCGTCGAATTTGGGTGGCGTTGCCATCGGAATGAAAATAAATCACGCTGCCTTACCGCATAGGCAACGGAGAGGGAGAGGTTGGGGAGGTAAATGGGATATGTGGAGATGTGGTCCTGAATGCTGCGGAATGGGAACGCACCACAAGAGCAAAACAGAGCCACCATTAAACCAAAACAGAGCCCGGGGGCGTTCATAGGGGGTGGAACTCATTTATTCGCATTTTTTCCTCAGTTCTTTTTTTTTTTTTTTTTTGCAAATGCGAAAATGAATGTGGAAACTTTTCCGCCATCATTTTGAGTGATGTCAATTAGATTGATTTGATCAGCGAAAATATGTGATTTATCAGACAGCAACAGCGCCTGGGCGGCCCCAGGACATTCGTCTCATCGCCCTTTGGAAAGCAACGTTCACGGTGCGTATGAATATCTAATGTGGCACACACATACCGCTTCATCACTTGTTACGTTCGTTTGTCCATCTACTTCATCAATCAGTCATCTAACTAGTTTTTGGCAGCCTGCTCCATTTAGTCTGGACGGGAATGCCACAACACTCTTTAAGGCTTGCTATTTGTAGAGTAAATACTTAAACTTTTAAGGAGTTTCAGGGTCGTTTAAGACATTCTATCTTCTAGTCTTAGTTGGAAAGCTTAAAGTACAGATTGATAGGGATGATTGGAGGGAAGCTTTAGACACGCTTCTTGTATATAGAGCTATATGAACTGAGATTTCCCCATCATAATGGCTTCAATTACAGCCGTAATTTAAAAAATCAATCTTTCCACCTGTTTAGCGAACTTTCTATGACTCTGCGGGGTCATTAAATACTAACCACAAACATTTTCCGCTATATAAGTAACTTACCCTATACAAAATCTCCAAATTAGCCAAACTATCCCCACACACCCCCTCCCAAATCAAGGCCAGTAACTTGTGTAAGACGACCATAATGAGGGATATTTGATTAACCGCTCTCCAGCGGCCCCCTTTAGTGGGAATCTAATACAATATATATATAATATAATAACGTATCCGGCTGGCGAATCACTTGGGCAAACAAAAGCGGCACGTTACTAGCAACGCCTACGATATTAATAAACCATTGGGCGAAGCACTTGCGGCGCCGCCACAAAGCAAATAAAATAAATCAAATCGGCGGAAAGAAAGCAGGCAAATCGCAATCTGAACGCAAGTGTGTAATAGGAGGGAGAAAACAAAGGGGAGTCCCCCTGTTTTTCTTTTCCTTTTGGCAGCCCAAAATTTATGCGCGCTCTTTGCCCGGCCGCTCCCACGCAATGTTTCCAAGTTTTCCCGGGGATCGGGATTTGGGATTGGGGATCCTGCGGTTGCGGGCTGTCCCTTTATTTTTACGGAGGGGGAGGGGGGGTGGCTACATGTGTCAATAACTCATTTTCAAATGGGAATAACATCGAATAAAATTCGCGCTTCCTCTATACGAATGCCAGTGGCATGTGTGTCAATCCATTTATTCTTGGCCATGGTTGGCCCTGGTTTGGGCCAAGGCCCCTTTGACTGATGAAATATCGTGACAAGCAGTATAAAACCTATTAAAGTCGAGTGTAGATGGCGCTACTTGAATTTGTCAAAATGTCTTTTTACGCGCACAGCCGGCACAGGCACAAGCACAGGGCTAAGGCCCATACACAGTCACAGGCAATACCAAATCCAATATAACACGCCTATGGTAGAGTCGCCCCGGGAACCGCGAATACTAAGCCACCACCACCCACCCACTCAAACCATACGTCATGGGAACGGGTGAAACTTTGATTGATGCCGTTGTGTCACGCAGGCGCGCATGTGGCTAATGGGCGGTCGGTGGCATAAAAAACCATTCGAATTTTTTTTCGGGGAGAGGAGCGAAGGCAGTGGATGGGGTCGTCGCCAATCAATTGAGTGATGTTGCCAATTTGGGCATGGTTCGGGGCACAGATTTGGTAAGCTATCTTAATCGAGCCCAAGTTGGTTGTTTTAGTGCAGCTGCAAACGTCGGAATAAGTTAGCTTTTTTAAGATTGTACGAAGTGCACTTAGAGAAAAGTGTGAAACTATATCTAGTGCTGGAGCTTAGCTAAAGAAATATCAATAAGAACCCCAAAACCTTTTCCCTCAGTGCAGTGCCCCGCTGTTGTTCAAGTGGCGTCCACAAATAAACGCTCGCCCCAAATGCATCAAAGTAACGAGCTCAAGCTGCGCACCACAGCTTGTCCTGGTCAGAAGGAAACCATGGCCAGAGTCCGGGAATATCCACTGAGATGCCCTACAAGCGACTGGCGCCTGGAGTTGTGATATATGAAATTAAGTTAATAAACCAGTGAAATATCGCCAGTGAATGGAACGCGATTCGCAAGACGCGATCAGCGGGCGCGCTAGGCGACTTGCTGCGTCTCCATAAATTGTGGCACTTTGGGGGTCAGACAGTGCCTCAGCAATGTGGCATCCCGCAACACCTGAGGTGTCCACTGACTTATATTGGTCACATATCGTTGGGTTTCTTGAAATTCAAGACGTGAATGTGAATGGCTAATTAGGAGAGGCTGTAAAAACAAATTATGGTTAAGACAAAGAGATACCTAAAATGGGAAATAATTTCTTTTCTTAACCCAATCTTTCAGAACTCAGGTCTTAAAGTAGTCTTGTAGTTTGAGATCCTAACCCAATCTTTCAGAACTTAAAGCTTCTTAGACTAGAAACTTCCCCCACTTTAATTTAAATTTTGCATAAGAAATATTTAGCCGGCTTAATTCGAAATTCCCCGGAGAGTTTAAGCTGTCGAATTGCATTCGAAGGGACCCCAAAAACCGAACCGATTGTGGGGTTTTTGGTCACCACAAGAGTGTGTGCCCCGTCGATGGCATTGTGCTCCATTGTTCCCTGGATTCCCCATTGTCTGAGCTAAATTAAGCAAACTTTGTATGGGTGCCGTGCATAGTTTCGTACCAAATCAATTCACCCGTAGTCGAGAACTCCGGGCATCTCTCCCTCTGCCCACCTTATCTCCAGGCTCCACTCACTCATCCCCCTCATTCCGACTTAAAAAAAAAAAAAAAAACAGCAGAAGGATTTGGAAAGTCACACCAGATATAGACCTTGCAACACCCTTTCGGCCTTAACTTTTCACTATGGTGGTGGCAGTGGTGGGGGAACCACGTAAGCCGTAAGCCAGGCCGTGAGCAGAACGCAATAAATTACGTTAAAGACGCCAGGCCCAGAGAACCAGAACCAGGACCAGACCCACCAAAAATTTGCATTCCACATTCACAACCAAAAACACCCCAGAACCCATTTGGAAAAGCGGCACACGCATCATCATAATTAATAAGAGACAATTTGACAATGGCCCTTTAGCGTTAACAGCGATATTACTTTCAGCGACGAAGTGAGCAGCCGCCGGAAGACACACACAAACATACACACACACTCTTGCCGGATGGAACACACCCCCTTGCCATTTTGCGCCAAATTAAATTCAACCTCAATTGAGGGGTTAATTTCTATCACCAGGCAAACAAAAACAAAAACGCCCAGCCCGCAGACGAGCTACGTGGGGTGGCCCTTGAAAAGGGGGAGTGGATGGGTGGCATGGGCTGGCTAGGTCGCTCCATTATCTGCATCGAGTTCCACATAGAAAATCATTACGGCATTCGCACCATGAGACGTATTCAATTTGAGTGTCGTTGAGCTCTTTATTACGTTAGTGTGAAAGTCGCGTGCACCGAAAGCCTGGCCTTGCACTGGGAGAAAATAAAGATGGGTTTAAGTTGGGAATATAACTTCTTAATATATTGGTTTATACATATGTAAGACTTAAAACATCTTAATATTCCTCTTGGTCAAAAAATAACCTTAAAAGATATATTAAATAATTGTTAAATCCTAACTAAATATGAAATAATTTTCTTACGTGCATCGTCCTGTGGCATCGCATCCCCGAGTACCACACCTCCTGCCCCGTCTCCTGCGCCCTTTTGGCATTCATTCACGGTGCGTAAGTCAGAGCAACAACAATAACAAAACCGGGCGTTCGGTGGAGGAAGTGGAAGTAAATTGAAAGCATGCTGCGCGGCCAAAAGAGGACTTCCACTTCTCCCGTAGCCCTAACCCTTCAATTGGCAGTGCCACGAAATCCATTAGCAGGCAGCGTGCGGCGAGGAGGAAAGCAGCCAGGAGGCAGGAGCAGCTAGCGGCATCATCATCGGCAAACGGTGACCATGAGGCTTTTATGCAAGGAGCGTCCTGCTTCGCTTTCGGTTAACCATGGGCATGCCACACCACTCCACTCGATTCCACTTCCAGGGCTTTCAATCTCGACGAGACTCATAAACATATGCGCCTCACGTCGTTTGGCGTGAATTTAATGTGGCGGCGGTGGAGTAGACGACACCCCCAGCAGCCAAGCGAAAGCTAAAGACCCACCTCCCCTTCAGACAGACGGTTAGCCGTTCTTTGATGAGGTTACTGACTTTGGCGAATTAACTCCCACTGTTGATGTTGCTTGTGCCCTGAGCCTGGGGTCGCTGGCGAACCGGAAACCACTGCATTTTGTTGGCCCGAAAACCGGGGTGGCACGCTTCAACGCCTCGGAAAATCTCAGGGGACACTAGCAGCACAATGCAGCATTTAGATAAACCGAGACTTTAGAGCCCTTTTCGACTTGGCCGGAATAAATGTCAGGAGTTTGTATCGCGGAGGCTGGGTAACGGAAATCAATCCTTCTTCGCGGGGCTGCCTACGTTGTAGCCAGATTAGTTAAATAGTCTTTCAAGGGGAGAGAACTGATCCCAGATCCATGACTTTGTTTTGCTCATTTAATTGAAATTAATAGCTGATACAATGGGGGTGGAAAAGGGAAATACAATTAGGGAAAATATTAATGGTTTTAGATATGGTAATACTTGCAGTATGTTATCCTACTTTCTGCGCGACAATTAGATTTAACACATTTTTCCCGGCATTGCAGCTTAAAGTATGCCCGTATATATATGGGTTCACAAACTGTAAAATTTCTCCATCAGAATACTGGTTAAAAATACTAGATGCGATTAAAAGCTAGATTAGCCTATCGAGATCGATTATCGACTGACGAAAAACTTCTTAATAACAAGCTAAGTGTTGTGCTGAAATAAAAATATTTTTTATAAAGAAAAGCAAAACCTAAAAAATCTAAAACTTTAACTCTTTTTAAAAACCTAAAACAAGACAACATATATCCAATTTCTGTAAGTAGATCCAATTAGCGCCATTTAAATGTCAATAGTAACATATTTCTATCACTGTACCAACAATCGAATTAATCACTACCGAAGGACTAACTTAGTCAACATACATATGCCACTAAGCGTGGCTGATTCTTTTGGCCACATTTCACCGGATTCCAGGGCCATTCGATCTAATCAAACAATCAAACAGAAATAATCGGGCATATCAAAGCCCCACTACAAGTGCCCCGGAATCGGAATCCAATTGGGACGGCACACCGATGCTAGCTGCCATAAATTTTATTTATTTATGTGTGTGCACCGTTTTGTTTTCCGCTCTGTTTTCTGTTTGCTGCCCTCCGAACGGTATATACATATATATAGTATATCGGGCCGAAAATCGACCATGAATATCAATGGGGGAATTGTGCGTCATCGGCACGCGCCGCTTCATCCGATACAGTGACTCTGTGGCTTAGCCTTGCCTCCAATCTTGGCCCAAAACGGTCGTCCTTTTGGTTGGCCAACTTGGGGGAGGGTTTTGATATTGTTTTTTTTTTGTTTTTATCAGCCAGACGAGGGACTGGAGTACGACCTGGTCGCGAGCCTTAAGCACTTGTGCTCCTGATGCGTATTTAATTTTATTTTATTTGGGATTTCTCACAGTCGATTGGGGGAAGTAAATCACGGCAGAAGTCTTGGTTTTTTTTTCCACACCCAAGTTGGTCCGTACTTTTTATTGGGGGGTGGTCCATCCTGTTAGACTAGGGATTCGATATATCGACACTATAACCATATGGCAGATGTGGTTGTGTGTCTCAATCCGGCTTACACTTGTCGCATCCAAGAAAAAACGACAGGGAATAAGTGACATCGAGTGCTGAGTGTTGATTGTTCGTCATTTTCTATATAAGATAAATGAGGAAGTGAGTGTCTGCTACCCTCAGTAGAAACTGAAGCTTTCGTATTAAATTCATGAAAGTTAAGTGCTTGGTAATTGATGTTATAAAATATTTATGACAGACAGCCCAACATCAGGCAGTTTCGTTTCGTTTCGTTTTCGAACAGAACAGAAACAGGTAGTCAAGTTAGAGTTCATACCTTTTTAAGTGTCGCATACAGCCTTGGTCCTTCAGTCGGCCTGATGGACAAAGTTAGATTTGGCTCTAATTGACATTAATTATTTAAAAGGACGTCGTGCGAATCCTTCGACCTAAGTGCCGCTCTTTGCGCTGCGGTAAAGCTCTGAGTCCTCAGAGTTGCTCGAAAAAGTCAGAGACAAATAAGTTTTTTAGGAATTGGGAAAAAGTCTGGCGGGATACCTTTAAAAACTTCCAATTGGTATTCAAAGTAACAAGCTATTCAGGACATAGAGAAAGAGAACAAAATACTATCTATATCTATGATCATCTTGATTCTGAAGTTATGGAGTCGGAGTTTTAAGGAAACAATATGTTTAATATGTTTAGTCAGTTTTACGTCGTTCTCTTAAGCATTATAAACACAACCATTATGCTTAAAGAAACATTTAATAATACAGTCCTTCCCAAGATCATCCCTTTCAGATCTCCCAGTGTACTCCATTCATTTGGTCACCCTGGCCAGGCTCAGCACTCAGGATTTTGGCTTGGCTCACTTGACCGGGCAAAAACAGTCGCCCAAAAGCTGATAATGATGCTGTTGGCGACTTTGTGTTTGCTTATGCCGGTAGCCTTGTGCCCTGGTCCAGAGTCCTTGCTCCTTTGCAGGGGCTGGCTTTGATGTTTCGCCAGGATGATGAATTATATTTGACATCTATGGGCTTGGGCACCCCGTCCTGTGGCATTAACATGTGTGTACCCTGCCACATTGATACTCGTACAGAGGTATGAGGACAAATACGAGAGCTCGTGCATGCGCAGCAAAGAACCACCCAGCGAACCACCCACAGGCACACACTCGTGTGATGAGAGCCGCACTTGGATATGTTTATTTTACTGTCAAAACATTAAAGTAAACTCCCGCCGATGCCGCCGCACAGGGTTGATTGTTATCAGGGGGCGGTGTCGACAGCGGTGTACCTTGTCGAGGGTGGAAAAACCCATGGTCGGTCCTTGGGTAAGTTGTTCCTGGTCCCTGCTTCCTGGGACCTTTTTGGCCACCTTCAGTTTGACTCCGTTAGACAAGTCTATTTGCATATGTTGACGGCACACTCGAACAGATCCTGGTGGATTTCCTGCTTAACGGCCACGGCCATCACAACAACAACCCCCGCTCCTAAGACACATGTGGCTGGGTGGCATGCCTTTTTGACAACTCATAACAATCACTCATCATAAACAAAGTCAGTTTTTTATAAGAGAAAAAGTTATGGCTACGTTAAATAATGGACTAGATGAGGACCTAAACAAATTGCAGGTGATGTTGGTAGTCAAGAGGAAAATCCCCTTTTAGCTCACGACTTAACGACTTGCCAATTAGTTAATTAGCGAAACTCCTGCTGCGGCCTTCGACGTCTTAACCACTTGATTCCTTCGGGCTAGTCACTCATTTATCTATGCAGGCAGCCCTTGCGGTCAATTAAAACAATCCGCAAAATAATTGCCAAGAAATTTATTCGCTTCATTAACTTGTTCACCGAAGTCAGAGAAGAAGACAGGCGGACTGAGCACGAAGTCAGCCAGAAAATTAAGTGAAATAATTAAATCTCAATCGGGATCTATTAGATTTTGGTGTAGCCTTTCGACATTGGCTTTCGGCCATGGCCCTTGTCAGCGAGTGTTGAGGGATGAACACACACAAATACATTTTGGCAGTACGTCCGGGGCTAATCTTCGCCCAGCAAGGGGTTAGCCTTTTTGGCCTTAACGATGGGGTTGAAATAACCGGTGGCATAAGGGGGATGTATCCCCAGGATTTGAAAGTGCAACAATCGGGGCCAGCTTTTGGTGGTTTTCGACTGACAACGACCATTTATCACCCACGCAGCATCTTTCATAATCAGGCTGGCCGGCAAAATGCAAATGACTCAGTCTGCTCGACGGCGGAGCTGCATATAAAGGACCCGGCCGCGGCTTTTAATTTACAACGTCCTACGTCCTACGTTCATGTATATGTATCTATACGTGCAACTGTGGTCCACAGCACACACACACACTTACATACACTCCACAGAGTGGGGCACTCAGAGTGGCCCGGCTCTGAGCCACAGCCGCCATCTTCGCCACAATGCCAGACAAAAGGTCGACACGTTCCCATTCCGACCGACTTAATTAATTTATGCACTCATGGTCGGTCGCAATGCATCGGAGTCTCTCGGGGATCGGGCAGCGGACAGCGGGCATCGGGGATTGGGGATCGGTGGTTGGGGATCGGGAATGGGAATGGGAAATGGTAATGGGAACGGGAACGGGAAGGGCCAGGGATGGCCAGTTTAGTCGGTCTTCTGGCAAAGGTGGACATCATTTCTGGGGCTCTCTTTTTATTCTTGAAAACCCGCCTAATTTTAAAATTAATGAGCGGCATCTTGATGGCCGATGGCAGCGATAAGCCCCATGATTTTCACTGTCCCAGAGATCCAGAGAGCCCACGTCCCTGCCGCTCGATCGCAGCTTAAGTAAATCACGTGTTTATTGGCACTTCACTTACGACACCGTCACCAAAGACTGTATATATATATGGCTATATAGAGAGTGAGAGGGGAGAAACCACAGGGCCAAAACCAAAACGAAAAGGAAAACCAAAATGGCATCACTCTATAGGCCCTGCACTCTATATTGCCCCGCTACGATCGGTTGGGATCGAGATCGAGGGTATCCGTGCCGGCCAACTGACCAACGTCATTAATTAGCTGGCCGTGAAGTGTGGGGAACGAATGGAAACCGACGTGTTTATTTGGTTTGTATGCCCGTTCAACAGCCCAAATGTATTGGGGCTTCATTTAGGAGTTCTTTTGTTTTCAAATATTTTGCCGCTCGGTACAGTGGGGCCTTTAAGTAAGAGAAAACTGCAAAGATTGATAAATCAAATTGGTCAAGTTATATGTCTTTATGAATAAGATTAGTTTAGTAATTACTCTTTGCTTAAATAATACTCTAAAAATTTAAAATTTTAATAACATCCTTGACTTCCAAACACCACTGTACTCAACTCTGTTGTGTCATTTATTTTGTTTGACCGGAAACTCTTTATCTTACGGTTAATCTTCTTGATATTTCAGATGTGAAAAGCCCAAATGCCGATGCATTCTTGATTCGTGACATTAAGACAAAAATAAACTTGATTTTGGTATGAAATTGATTCATTCATTTTCAATCCATTGAGTAAGATTCTTATCCGCTGGATGTGTCGGGGACCAGCATCAGCACTTCCAACTGTGAGCACATCCAACAGGTAGTCAAACCAGACAAACTGTCTCCACTTGGCGACTTTCGGAGACGTTTTCCTTTCCTCTTTGGTCTTTAAAAGCGTAAGAGTGCATAATTTTTGAATAAAGGTAAACATATATTTTCATAATTAATGATTTCATTTTACTTTTAGGTCAATAAATTATATTGAAGGATGAGAAACAGTAACCCTTTTCTTGGAGGACTTTGAAGCTTGAGCTTGGACTTTGGATTTACTTGGACCTTTAAAGTGTTTGTACATAACCGAAAACTTACAAATTCTTATAGTAAAAATTTGTTTATTTCAGATTATCAAATACTTCTATGGAAATAAGAACGCCCAATTGGATCTATATGGTTTGTGTATCAATTTAGTTCATGTACTAAGTTCGAACATTTACTAAAACTTTTATTTTTTACAGATCGCTTTATAAACATGTTGACTACATTTCAATGGACCGTATAGGAATGAAGTGGAAATTTGTATTTAAGTTTACCATACAATACTAAAAGTTACTAAAAATTCCCTAAACTGACACAATAACAATGTTCGTTGCGATATATTGCCCAATTAGAAACTGATAATATCTTGAAATAACAAGAAATCAAAGCATATTTATCTATTTAAGACTACCTAAAAATAAAAAGGGTCACCAAATTTCTTTAATATAAATTGTATTATTTTGTATTATATATGAGTAAATCTCAAACACTTTCTAATTGTAAAAAATATAACTAAATTAAAGCGGATTCTGATTAGATAACTTCAGGATAACAATGTCTATAAACTACCAAATTTATAATTTTTGTCTTATTTGCTATTGGTGAATCAGAGTATGACTTATCTAAGCGAAGGTTTTTCTCTATAAAACTTTTAAATATTATACTTATAAAATGTTATTAATTAATTCAACAAAATCGGAAATATTAATTGATTATAAATAATTTTTATAAAAAATAAAATGTATATTTACATGTGTACAAACACTAGTTTGCAAAGGAGTCTCTAAATCAGTTGCCCAGCTTGAATTCAATCAATCTAAAAATAAAGTCTAAAAGAAGAGATGCCAAATTAAAGAATTTAAAGATACAAAATATAAAAGTAATTAAAATGAACTTATTCCAGTAATTAGTCAGATAACCTAAATATATGATTATTATCAACAAAGAAAATAATTATCAGAAAGGATTATCATTTAAATTTTATGATGCTAACACTATCCAGTTTTCTCGAACTCCAATAAGTTTTATTTCATTCCACAAAATTAGCATTGGCTGGCTTAAGGACAGCTGATCCTCAAAAATATCTACACATTAAGTGAAGAGTACAAGATGGACTTACATTTTGAATATGGCTAAATATACAATGTTCCTGTATTTGCTTATTATGATTCATTCAATTACATATGATCACGCATAATCACGTGAAATTCGTTCAGCCCAAAAGTATGCAACGCGAACTGTAATGATTTTCGTATAGCATACTTATGTGTTTAATTATTCTCTGACGCATATTTATATCACAATAGCTGCTTGTTAGTATAGTTTATGTTATATATAGAAGTAGTAGTTTTATTAATTAATAAATAATAAAAAATGCAGTAAAATATTATCCATAACGACTCACCATTAAGGTTGAGAACTTAAGCAATAAGCTATAGAAAAACCTTAATAATGGTCTTAAATCAGAAATCAAAAACTGCCTAAAATATATATATTTTAAAATTTTAAATGACTATTAGAGGACCAAATCATTTAAGAATTCTTTTTAAACTTATATAATATATTGTAGTTAAATCTATACTATCCAGTTTATGACATTACCTAAAATTTTGTGAATTCCAAAATGAATTTTGATTTACCTTTAAAACCAAAAATCATGAGAAAGGCTTTGTAATATATCTTAAAGCTTGCATATTTAAAGCAAAGTAATTTGTTAAAGAACAATGCTCAATCACCTTAATACCCACAATAAATTTGATCCAGTTATTGGGCATTGTTATAAGTCATAATATCCCAGACCCAAGTCCAAAACGATAAAGGACGGCTGCGAATATATTTATTGTTTTCTGCTTACTACCTGAATACGAATTAGCATCGGAACCATCCCTGCCATCATATATATATATATATAGATATATATTCGTATACGAAAGTAATGTCTTGAGCAGTCCCTGGATCGTGCCCCATAAATCATGCCAAAACGGAGTTCGGGTATAGAAAGTCAAAGTAAACTGCCATCACTTAAAGTCATTCAAGCATTTATTTATGTCAAAACATTGTCCGTTTAGCTGCTGCGAACCTTTTGGCCAGGCAAAAGGCAAGGGGAAGGAACCCGAGGGGTCAGTTGGCCCGTTTCTCGAATGTATAACTCAATTATAGGCGGCTGTGTGCTCACCTCGCAGCGGGGTGTCGGCGCATTAGCCACTCCTCCATATCTTGGCCCCTTTACCTCGGAGTTACCTTCTATCCTAATGCTAGACTAGATCGGACAATGATTCCTGCGGCGATCGGGGTCATTGCGGTTTCGGGACCGTCTCCCCCGAATCTGCAGGACGAGATAACCTAGACTAGACTGCATAGATGTCATTAGAAACCGGGCACCGATGCCATCCCAACTGATTCTCAATGAAATGGCCAGCTTGTCTTTATTATCTGGGAATGGTCGGGGGTAGGATTCCTGTGTGGCCCGCATGCGCAATCGGATCGTCTATATACATATATATATTTGCCCACGACCGACCTCCAAGTGGTCCCTGTACATGATTCTGTTTAACGAGAACAATGTTCTCTGCAATCTCGCAAGCCTTGGCCACACCGTAGTTGCTTCGTTGGCGATCGCCTTTATTCACAGTTTCTGGCTGGAGTTGGGGATCTGGGGAGGATCAGGAGGATCTGTAACCAGATGAGGGGTTAACAACTACACGACGGCCATGGATCGTGCAAAAGTACAGCGACGGGATGGCAGGTGGCGCCGGCGCCGATTCGAATTTGAATATGAAAAGGGAGTCCAGACCAAGGGCTCGCAAATTTGTATGGTGAGCAGGGCAGAGTCAAGTTTTTATGAGCTTTCAATAAGGGTTCACTGGAAATAACTTTGGCTAAGGAATGTATGAGCCAGATGTGTATATTTTAAATATGTATATATGTATTGAAGTAAAGGATGTAGCCATAAAAATTGCATTCTAGAATTGTATATGGATTTTTAACTGAATAATATTAGGTAGTCAATTTTATTGACAGATTATTATTATATTAACTAATTTTCTACCTAAAATTAGAACAGGCTCTTACAGAAAATGCAAAAATCTCACCAAAATTGAAATTTTAAAAATCAGAAGGACCGCCTTCTGGACTACACAAAGTTAGTTTTTGTTGTTAACTGCACAAAAGTCTGCACAAGTCATATATCTGTGCGTCTATTTTTAACTGACTTAAAACTCAAGTACCACAAAAAACACTGCAAATTTCCAACAAAAGTCTGAATTCTGATATTTCACCTACGAAATCAGTACTTTGCCCATAACAATGCTAAAAATGGTCGTAATATGGATTGGCATACCTCGTTGAGCTCGTTATTTAAATCCCAGCAGGTCTGCATTCAAACCTGAAAACGTAATATATTTCCCATTTTTCTCAAAATTTATTGATACCACTCATTATAAGAAATGTTTTGTTTCAAAAGTGGAATTTACGAAAGTCTGCAGGAAAACTATTGGAATCTTTTTTGTTCTTCTTTAAGCTATGCGTCTTGTTTATATTAATTTAAATATTGAAAACCCATAAAAACAATGCCTATATTGGCGAGAAACTACTTTTTCATTATCATAATCTAAAAGTTGAGTTGAGATCATCCCTGAATGTGAAATTTGATACCTACATATATCTGTCCCTCAAAAGTGGCAACAACAAATATCATAATATAAACAAACGCGAGTGCACACTTCCTTAAATGGCAATATAAATGTCAGTCCAGGAAGGTAAAGATTAAGAGCAGACGCTTGTAGCGACACGCCCACCAAATGAGTACAGTGGCATAGTTAATATGTAATCCCCGACACGTGGACTAAATTATGTTCCTTTAAGGGCTGCCATTAGGACAAGGGCGCCTTGGACTCTCCCCAAAATCTAAAGAGATGTTCTATTAAATGATGTTAGGGTGAAAAAGGGTGAATGTGATACAAAAATGTAACTAGTTAGGTGATAGATTACAAATAATTATCTTATTTCCATTTTTATGTTTATACAAAACTAAGAAAAGAAGAAAAACTTGCATACTTTTAGGACACTAAGTTAATATTCACAAAGGTTTAATAATCTTACTAAATCAATGCTAATTTAGCTTGGAAACTTAAATATATATCACAAATTCCATTAGTCTCATTAAGTAGTCCCAGTAATCTCATTCCCACGTTGTAAGATCTCGGCAGTAGTAATAGTTCACTTGTCGCTCTCCAAAACATAACCCATAAAGATTTTTATGTAACCCAGATTTGAGAAAAGGGCCATGACGAAATCTTGTCCCTTCTCGTGAAGATTCATTGTGAAACTGGCGCCATTCAATGTGATTTCACCTCGCAGTCCTTTTGGCCTCTGATAATTGTTCCTTATCGGCGAGACAGTTGTGAATGACAATTTTTGGTTGGACAATAGCTCGGCTGTGGGTCGTCAACGCGGCACCATAGCCAGCGGGGGCTATATATGGTTATAATTGCCCGAGGCAGGACCAGGATTACACGACAGGTCGACCTGTCTACATATCCCTACTCCTCCTTCCCCTAGAAGTGTATATATCTGTTACACAGAGTAATGATCGTAATGTCGCACAAGTATCTTTAAGATGCATTCGATATTTCAGAATGAACTACCTACCTGCTGAATGCCTGGTTGTGGCATCCGCTTGTCCAGTGTCCAGTGTCCGATGTCCCTCGTCCATCGTCGAGTCAACAGCAAAAAGGCTAGTTAATCTGTGCCGACCTCGATAACGTTTTAGTGCTCAATTTTGATTCTACGCCCTTTGTGGTTTGGGTCTTTACAACTGTTTATGCCTTTTATGATTTTGTCGTGGCCGTTTCATGTCGTTTCGTTTCGTTTCTTCAGGTCTCCAAGTCTCTGGCTTTTGGGCTTGGTCGTTGGTCGTCTCTGTGTCGGCCAGTCCCAAAGAGAAACTGGGCAAGCCTTTGGAATGGGTCCTTACCCCTGTCCCTCCTCTGTTATGGCCTGTAATTTAATATCCTAGGACTGGCATTGGACTTTTGCTTAATCATGACAGCCGACCGACCGACCGACTTACCCTTCGACACACAGTGGTTATCAACGAATGCTATTGGCGTTACGCCGCTCGCTGTTTCACACTTTTGCCCTTGGTCTTTGCTTTAAGCCCACTGTTTGTCTTAGGGTTCGTGTGTGCGCGGCCATTAAGGTTTTTTGGTTGTTTTCCTCCTCTCTCTCTCCCTCTTTCTGTGATTTCCCAAATGTCCAATTCGATCCGATCGGATCGAAGACGATCGCCAGCAAGCCGAGAACCATACCATTTCGGCGCTCATTTAAATATTTTATCATCCCCGCACTGGGGAGAAGACACTAAAGAGAACTTTATATCTTTTCGGTTCGCTACGTTTTTATCACTCGAATGAACAAAAACATTTGTTACCAATCAGAGTTCTTAATTTTATGGCCTGTGTGTTTGCGACAAAAGTGCCGCTCGCTCGCTTGCCTCTTCCTTTCTGCCCCCAAAAACGGAGAGAGGAGGAGACTCCGATCGTTTGTCGGCTTTGTCGCAGAAATTAGCCGCGTATTCCTTTAGAGCTTGTACCCAGTATATGCCCGGTATCTTAATTGGCTTTGATGCTGCGATGGCTTTTCATAAACGTCAGCCCAGTCCCATCCACACTCGTATAAACATGGGCTGCTTCGTTGCTAACTGGTAACTGGTAACTGGTAACTGGTATCTGGGAATGGAAAACAAACACATGTGCTTAAGAGATAGCTAAATTATTTTAAAGCTCATTTACTTATGTACATCCAGCAACACGGGATCGGGTTACAATAACTTCTCGGCTGAGTCCTTTTTTGCTAGCCATTTCAGGGAAATGTATACCTGAGAGGAGAAGTCAGTGAAGGAGTTAAGGATTTTATAATTTGGATACTTTTTATAATCCACTAACAGACCTTTAACATGACTTGATGATGATTGAGGGGATGAGTTGATGGTTTATTACTGTAAGAAAAGATTTTTTATAATTAATAGTTATGTTTATTTATGTAAATATAGAAATATTATAGAAATTGCAGTCCTAAGATCATTTTAAGATGGATATTCTTTGAAAATATAAATCATTTTAATAATATTTTGATCACTTAAGAGAACAAAAGGGCAAACATTGATTTGTAAAGAAGAAAAATGTTTAAAAATCTTAACAAAATATAACAAATTGCTATAAGATATAGTTTCCAATTCATCTTAACTGCAACTACATTAATCTTCTTTAAGTCAACCTCTAGTTTGGCATATTTTGAATAAATAATCTATAAAATTCTTAACCTTCAACCTGCTGTTCAGTTTCTTAATTCACCAAGCTAAGAGTAAACATTTCAATTATTTATGAGGGGTTATCCTCTGTAAAAAACCAACAAAAAAACGAAATAAATAGATGCACACACAATGTGAAATTGCAACAATTGACAAATTGCGGCATATAAATTTTCCCCACTGAACCGTAGAGATGTCAACTGACTGCTTCCCCTTGGCCATGGCCATAATGTAGAGCATTGCCTTTGTCTTTGGAATTATGTTAACTAGCCGAAGAATCGATCGTGCGGGCTCCGCTAAGGGCCAGAACATAATTTATTCATACGTCAAACAGAACTGTCCATTTAAATGCGAGCATTTCCCTTGTTTTCCCTTTCCCAGTTTCCCTTTTTTCCCCCATCCCCCTAGCTTCTATGGTATATGGCCAGTGCAATGTCAAACGAGAGAAATGAGGATGGGGGATGGATCCGTGGAGGGAAACGCAAATAAAACGCAGCATATTGGGAAAATTTCACGGTCTTTTGGCCGCCAGCTAACCAACTGGTCAACGGTCGCTGGCCAGGGGCTAATTTATAGGGCGATTCGGTGGGTGTTTGTTTGTCCACTTCCCCTTACCTCCTCCTCCCCCACCCCCCTTGGCCATATATTATTCCATTTCAGATTCAATTTACGGCGGGGGAGTGGTGCGATACGGTATGCTAGGCCATGGTATAGACTGGAGTGCGTAAGGGCCAGGTAAATTGAAAAATGGACATTTGTAGTTTGATACCCATTTGGAGTAGGACAAGGGCTATCTGGTTATATGGTCTCTTAGCCTGGCTGTGCAAGTGGTTGATCAGGGTCGACTTTTCGGCTTAGATAAGCTGCTGCTGCTGCTTCTGCTGTTGTTGTGTCTCTTCCCCCCTTTACCCTGCGGATAACGCGACAGTGACAGACGGCAGGCAGGGGTTAAAGTTAGGGGTTGTTTTCCATAAACCCGGCAACTCGAATTCGAGATGGGTCTATTGCTGGTTTTTTCGACATGCAGATGTGACGGGCGCGGATTTGTTTCGTATATCTTTGCGACAACTTGATTTTTTGTCAACGCGCGATGCGCTTTTCCAGGGAAATCCTTTTAGGCCTGATGGGCTCTCCGCCGTTCGCGAGTGCATTTGACACTTTGTTCGTGATGGATTACGTTAATTATTGATTAAATGGGCTTGTACTTGTCAGGACAAAGTAAAATCCATTAGAGGTTGTTTTGAATATGGCCCGCGGGTCGGTCGGTTGGTTATGGCAAAATTAGATTTAAATTTTTTCCACATTTTTATAATTTGACATGAACGGGCGCGCATTTGATGGATGCTCTGGAACGGCCAATAAAAAATTCCAAACCCCTAACGAAAAAAAACTGTAAGAAGAGGGTCTCGGGATCGCCGTTTACTTGCCGCGTTGACATTCCGCTGATGTCGCCTCCAAGCGCCAGTCCCTCGCAACACACACACACACACGGTCAGAGCACACCTTGGGATACAGATACTCCTCTGTAAATGGGATGCATCTGGAAAGCGGCGAGTCCCAGCGAGAACGGTGGACACGCACTAAAAAGCCGGCTGCGGCTGCGGCGATTCAGATTGAGGAGATAAGGAGCGGCGGGCTCTTTGGGAGATGCCGCGTCGTTATTTTTCGGTTGTCGCTTCATCTGCTCTGATTAATTCCTCTGATGAAATGCCGCTCCCCAGTCACCAGTCACCGGTACAAGAGCCAACAGTTAACAGCCAACAGCCACTTGATGCTGTGAATGGCTTTACAGTTGGGGGGGAAATTTTAATAGTGCCTTTTTAGCAGTTAGTTTATGGCAATTTTAGCTATCAATTTTAACTTTTACTAAGAAGTATATTAGGATTAGAAGGCGAAATTAAGGTTTATTTTATATATATCAGAAAATACCATAATACAACTTAACAATAATAGTCTTAAATAATAAAAATAATGTAGAATTTTATACCTTTAAGCAATATCATGAGAGATCAACTCATGTTCCCACTATTCCATAGAAACAGCCATTTTTCTTCACTTTAAAATCCCCTTTCAAGTTAATCATCACCACTTTCTTGACCGCGAGTGTATAAAATATATAGCCAAGGTGGACACTTGGCATTTTTCAAATGAGGAACTTTGATTTATCGGCATTCCGCCGACAGCGCCGCCATTTTGGTCGAGTAGGTGCAGCTTGACAAGTTGCATCTGCAAAAGCAGTCCGAGCTTTCCCTCCCGAGCTTTTTCGGGGACTTGCGAAGCTTTTCCTCTAAGCACTGCACACGGACCCGATAGTTCGACTTTTCCAAATGCATTGGGTACGTGGGAAATTGCCTCGAAAAGCGCGCAGTCTCTTCGACTTTTCACGGAAAACTCAAAGACTCGGCACAGCTGGCTAATCAGCAGAGAAATACCCCCAAAAAATTTCCCATTATTTTTGTTCCCCCACCATAAAGTACCAAGCGCTCCCGTTGCTTAGGCTCCGCCTGTTAAAAAATGGCTGCGCATTTATCTGCCGCATGCGCAGCATTAGTGGAAGAGGGATAGCTGTATCGTGGCAGCTAGCTCGCTCGCACCCGCTTTTCCTTTCCCCTCAACGAATACAAACATGATAGAGCAGTAAGACCATGATACTGGTTTATTTTTGTTTTTTTTTACTGTTTTTTCCTTCACTCCTCCTGGTAAGCCGTGGAAAACTTTAATTGGTGTTTTGCACTTCTAATGGATCCTGGGAGTGTATTAGACCCGAATCGCAACAGAAAGAGACATTTGTATACACTCGAAATCGGTCGAAACACATGTAAATGTGTGCGCCCGTAACCGGGGGTTAAGTGCCCAAAGCCCAGCGATAATATTGATCTGCGATATGTGTCACTTAGCAGAGTCGCAGAGTCGCAGATTTATGAGCCCACAGCGGCAATATTTGGTTGTGCAACTAAGCGTAGCGAAATTCTTAACGTTTGATGTTTGAGATTGTTTTAGTTAGTGCTTAGCAAGTGTTTTTTAATGATTTTAGAGGGTTTTTTCTTAATTAAATGTTTCCATTAAATAGAAAAGGCAATAGTTTGCTAAAAAGCATATCAAGTTAGTCTTAAGAAACTTCATAATTAATAAGAAATATTAAACATTTGAAAAACATTCTTTAAGAGTTATTAAATAGATAGTTTTGTATCATGACTAGCTAAAACACAGTTAAGCCTTATTAGCTTGGTAATATCTTTAAAAATTGATTAAAAAACTTGTACAAGTCAAAGAAGCAAGAAAACTTATACAATTTTCCTGATTAATATTATAAATATCAAATTAGTCATTTTAAGTTATGTTTTATAAACAATATTCTTAAGACAGATCCAAAACTATTTGCTACTCAGCCAGCGGAAAGTCTTAAAGTAAATCGAAATATAAATTAATGTAAACTTAAAATGGAATCAGAAGTATAGAGTCAAGAAGGAAGGAATATTCTTGCCCTTAAAGTATATAATTTAAATATTTCATACATTTTAACAAAAACTTAAGCTTTCACACAGAAAAATCTAAAAAGACAGCCAATCCAAGAGAAAACAAACTGATTTCTAACATTTTAATAAGAAACCTAAAAGTTCTTTCCAATCGAAGTTTAAATTAAGAAGCACATCTCCTAACAAGGGATGAAAGCCTGCTTTAAATCAGCCAATTTATATCTCAGCCCACATCCACTTCTCACATCTTATAAATCTTACGCCCCAAATAATTTCAGAATACGAAATTGACTTGTTCGAGGCACACTCTAAAATTAGAATCTAATTGTTTCATTTCGAAGCGAAACAAATTGTTTGCGTCGCTCTTTTGGATGTTGGATAATTCATTTTTATTAAGAAGAGCTGTCACTTAAAGAGGGCAGCCTTAGCCCAATGTATTGATATTCCAGTTTTTGGGGGGGAAGAAGATGAATTCGTTGTGAATATTCTGAACGACAGCTTGCTGGGGTAATTTTTGGGAATTTTAAAAGAAAAAAGGTGCTCTGTCAATGGGAAATCAAAGAAGATGAAGGGAAATGTATGAAAACAGCTGTATTGGTTTTAAGCTACAAACTGTAAAAAGTACTAAAAGTCAACCTAAGGAATCAATCAAAGCTACGACCAATACCCAAATTATATACCTTTAAATCCTACTTTACACTTAATCACCGTTTACAAATTTTAAGTCCAACTCTTGAAAGTTAGTTAATAGGCTGTGTGAAGTTTCCTTCACGTATAATTATGTACACGTGTTCCAGCAGGTGTGGTCCTTGGCAATGTTTACACGATACGCACACAGACTGCGACATATGCCCCAAAAGCCAATCCTTGTCACACCGGCCTGACATTCTGTTAGGACAGTGGTAAATCAGAACTAATTTTGTAGCCCAACTCATCAGATCTCCGCCCAGTAGACAGAATAGACACCTCATGACCTGTCACCTTACCTCGTTGCAGCTCTCCCTTCCATCGAAAATCATGCTTGAAAGACTGCTATTTAAAGTTTCAAATTTCGGACATTTGTCCGTCACGACCCGAACAATGGTGGTTGAACGGCCAGCAGTCGGATGCCCAGGATAACACACAAGGACACACCCGCCGACATGGACATGGATATGGATATATAGATATATACACACAGACTGGCCAAGCAGGCCTAAGACATCGACGTGGAGCGAACCTG